CAATATGTTCGCGAAATCTTTTAAATCAAATTATTCAACTAACTCCCGAAGTGGCTTGTCCGTCTGTCAGCATTACTTACGTTTAACAACAACAATAATTAACTCACAAACTATTTCTGAGGAGGATCTATTATTTCATTTGATGAATTTAAAACATTATTACAGTTATGACCCAGATATGATTCCTACATGCTTTCCAAAAAGTTGTGCAAAAAATCTGTATCTGCCTTTAACTCAACTTCTTAATTCCTCCCTCAAACACGACGTGGCAATCGTTACCAGTAGATAACGTTTCCGATCTCCTCACTACTATTCAATTCTCAATACGGGGTTTGTAAAGAAAAATTAACATTTCCAAATTTGATTGAATTTGTGTCACATATCTCTAAAACCTTTAGAGATAATAAGCTAACTGACGTTGTCTACACCGACTTCATTAAAGCATTCGATAGGGCTAATCACTCAATTCTCATTCATAAACGAGATATGCAATAGAAAACAACGTTAAAAATTTAAAGACATTTTATCACAATTAATTAATGTCGCATCCATAGATTCTCAAGGTAACCATTTCGGCCCGATTCTGTTTCCGTTACTTATAAATTATATATCTTCCGTAATATAACAAGCAAAAATCTGTACGTATATCTTGTTATACGCCGATTATGTAAAACTTTTTATGCCATATACCTCGATCGACGAAAGACGTTTATTACAAAACGATCTAGACAATGCCTTTGAACCTTAAGAAGTGTTAGACCATGTGATTTTCACGAAGACTTGTTCGACCTTCTCCTTATATAATTAGTAACTGTATTCTAGAGCAAGTCTTCAACTTTGTTGATTTGGGGGTTATAATGGACCATAAGCTCAACTTCCATCTTTATATCAACACCACTGTCTTAAAAGCAAAAAATGCTTTTACCATTGTCAAAAGATGGTCAAGAGAATCAAAGACCCTTTTGTAACCAAAGCACTTTATACGACTTTGGTGAGGCCAATATTAGAATATGGTTTACTGATTTGGAACCCCAATTATCAAATTCATTGAGATAAATTAAAGTCTGTTAAAAAAACAATTTTTGCTTTTTGCGTTAAGACATTTTCTATGAAACTCTACGATAAATCTTCCTCCATATACCAACCGTGTGTTACAAGTTTAATTCTTACTTCTCTCAACAATAAAATTTTAAAATTCCAATCTAGATGAACAGTTTTAAATCTCGCCGCTTAACAAACGCTTCCCAATCATGACTTGGCATATTCCGTATGTTATACGGATGTCGCGTCTCGTGTGGGTTGGGCGGGTGGACGAGACGAATTAATGCTAAGGACGGACATGTGACATGAGTAGAAAATTTTTTTCTTTGTTCTTTGTTCCTTGTCTCCTAATAAATGCTGCTTGCTAAAAATAGTTTGTATTGCACTGGTCAAAACACTTTAAAAATATTTTTTTCACATGAAAACTTTGATCAAAATTTGAATATATTAGGGTCACCCCAGAATACCATATCCCTGAGAAAATAGATACGTATGTACACTTCAGGTTTTATTGTGACATGAAAACATCAATTTTTAGAAAAAGTACAATAATTTACACTTAGAAAAATTGTATTGCTGAACTTACAAGAAATACTTAGGACTTACCAAGTCCCCAACAAAAATCTGCTGGCATTACTGGACTCAATTTTTCTTAGTTCACTTATTGCATTTTTTCACGGCGTTCTGTGGAGTTTTTTTTCCTGACATTGAGTTTAGGTTCACTTTATATTCGAATAGAAAAAATAGGATTAAATTTTTTGTGCTCTCTGTACAATTGATTCTCTTTCGTAAACTTTAGGTAAAACTAGATTTTTTTAAATAACGAAATCTTGATGGACCCCTGGCTACTATTTTATGAATCATTTTGCCAAAAGGAGCCAAAATGATTTGCAATATTGACAACGATGAAGTATATTACTTTAACCGATGGAGAGGATGTTCCAGAGAGCATTTTACTTTCGATCAAATTTTTCCAAATTTGGGTTATAGAACTAGTTTTCCAGGTTTTGTTAATTGGCTTCCTTTAGTTTTTTTTTTTCAAGGGGCTCCCATTTTTTATATATTCTAAAAGATTAAAGCCAGATCGTTAGCTTTGTTAAGATTTTTTTTCCTTAGTGGAGAAAGAAAATCAGACCAAACTGGTGCTTGGAGTGTTGAGAGATGTGCTGTATCACGAATAATTATTTGTAATCTGACTAGCCTCTTCATGATGTGGGGAGAATCGGAATATAAAAAATCATTTGCCAAAGCTTGAATACATATCAAGTCAGTTTTCTCGGTAATATACTTTGGATTAGGAAGATTCGAAATAGAGGTGGCAAGTTTTGCGAATAAAAATAAATGGTCACTTCCATGACCAAGCTGTCGAACACGTACATACATATATCTATGCATTTGCTCACACAATTTTTTAGTCATAAAAACTTATAAATTTTATGTTATTGCGCCACTTGTCACGCTCAGTACCTTCACTAAAAGGTAAATCAATGAATAAACGTTTTTAAAGTTGAAGGTACAATAATGGTATTTAGTTCAAATTTAAACTTGTAACACTGTAATACAAAAATAACTAAATATTTGCAGAACGTGAGCAAAATGCTCACGCGCGACTATCTATGCCACTCTGTGGAGCGCGCGTTCTCTAGGGTTAAATATAATAAGATCTTCAATTATTTTTCCACTCAGTCGGATCCCAGTGGTTTTTGTTTATAAGTATGCCTGTATGTGTATTTTATAGGAATATTTGTAGAAATATTTCAAGAAAATTATTGAGGCTAAAAGTTTGTGATGCAAAAGTGGACAAGAAATAAGTTTTAATTGGTGAAGATTTATTGAGTTTAGTTTGTTATAGACTTGTACTTTATTTGTATTTTGGTATTCTATATTAACGATGTTTGGAGTTGTTGGCGACCGAATTATTTTTTCTGCCCTTAAGTATCTTCCTAAGCATTTTAACCAAATTAGCAATTATATGGAGTTCTTTATGTATCGTCTAAAAGGACGTAGATTTATGTAGTACTTGCTTGGCAACAATTTTAGATTAGTTTTTAGATTTCCAGGAAGAATGCTGCGGTAGCATCCCTCCAGGAATTACAGGCACAGCAAAGAATTATGCTCCTTAACTCATGTCGCGGTCCTAAGCGGTGTTTCGGCAAGCCTGTAAGTTTTCAACTGCGTCTTGTTCGCCCCCGGTGCCGAATTGCTTTGAAGGTTGCCAGCATGGTTTCTTTGTCTTTAACCCAGGTGCTGCCGTCTAACTTTTTGAGTACTTTCTTGTGGCTCTGTAGTTTTGCGGCAAGTGCGGTCGTACACGACTGCCGCTCTATTCGCGCATCCCCGACATCTCTATTAAAAACATTTTATCGGAATCTGGACTACCTTTTTTAAAGGACAGCGTGGAAGACTGCCTATGTAAACTTTATCCAAAACTTATCATTAATCCCAACATCGTCTTGAAATAGGGGTATTATCAGCCTTATCTAACAAACGTTCTCCAAAGTTACCCTTATCTATTTAAAAATGCGCCTTATTTTCGAAAGAATGCGTTACCGCTAAAAAGCCAATTCGCTCAGTTGCGTGTTCAAAAGCATTCTTGGAGTAATTACCACCTCCAAATCAAGCTGGTGGAAGCTCGTATTCACTGATTTATCCGAAGCATCTTACACCTCCTTCTAGTCATAGAAGATAAAGAACTTATTTCCTACGGACTATTAAATTCATTTTGCCCAATATTCACAGCTACAGCTATTCTCAATACTCAAATCAACTCAAGTTAATGCGGACTCCCAGTCACACTGGCATCATTGCAAATGTGAATATGAAAGTGATGCACACTCCTACCATCATATCTCTTTATACTTTACAAAATGACATACCTACGGACTAATCAAACATAAAAGAAGCACAGTATTGTCTCTCTTCAGGATAAAATACAATCATTACTCAAGTATTAACCCAAGTCGCGTTAAGTCAGGTTTTCCGTCAACTATTTCGGCCAATTTAATTACTCCTTACATCAATTAATTACTCCTTATAATCAATTCACACCCATTGAGCGGAAGCTAGGACAATTTATTTAAGGTTGGTAATAGATTTGGTTTAAGTGTGTTAGAGCTGGAAAACCATTCGCAAGAATTATGAGGGGTTTTCTTTCTTTTTGGACTGGATGATAAGGGAGGTATCGAACCTGTTACATACATATGTAAAGAATAGATGAACACAACGTGAAAATCTTTAGAACTGTGAGTTTGGAAGTGTTGCTAAGTGTAAAAATACTTTGTAATGATGCAGTTTCGCATCCTCATCTCAACCCTGCATTCTATAAATTTGCCTTGGAACAATATTTTTCAAACTCATGCTGCGGGGAGCTTCTTGAGACAGTAGAGTTCTGTTAGTTATCCAGACTCAGTAAAGGTGCTGGAGGCACTGCTGTGTAGGCTAGAAATAAGTGCTGCCAGCATGGGGCCAAGTCAAGTGTGGACCACTCCCTGTGGGTTTTAACATTTAACCATAGCACTAGTTGCACCTAACCAAGGTGGAGGAGTGGTGGAGTCTTTTTTTGGCACATTCAGCAGAAATAATCCGTCGCACCAGATGCCAGCCTAATGCGAAGGACTTGGATCAGCCCAGCTGCGAGGTGTTGCTCCGTTGGTGCTCTTAGATTAATGTTGTTACCTGTTGACCTAAACGCGGTTAGGTTGTCGCCCTTGGCTGGATAAAATCTGGGTCAACTCCGGTGCGTAGAACTGGCTTTCGTCCAGCGACTGATGTCGTGTTTTTCCTCCTGTTATCGACTTTACGAATTCTTCTTGGCTATTACTATACATATACAATAAATTGTGTTGACGAGAAGAGGAATCACTTTGCTGAGGAAGAGCAATAGTTGCCAAAAGTACCGCATTATATCGAAGCCTAATAATTTTACATCAATAAAACTACGCTATGCCTTTAACACTAAATTGTTTATATTATTTATTTTAATCATGTAATTGAAAACTTTCAAACTAAAAATCTAATACAATACAATACAATGTATAGGCAATTGAGTGTGTTGTCATAAAAAATTCACCAATATAACTATGGTGGAGTAATAAATTATGTTAATTTTCGTCGTACAATGGTGTAGAATCACCCAAATTCATAGAATGAGGAGACGTATTTGTACGGGGTGTACTACGAATCGACCGGGGGCTTTTATGGTCTCTTATACGATAATGTTCATCTGAAAGTTGATTAAATGCAGATGACATATCGCTGGTGTTTGGGACCGAATAGTTAACGCCTCTTGAATAATCATTCCCACCAGGTCGTGACATATGTGGGGCGGGATGTACTGGTTTGCGTCTTGCCCATGACTCTGACGCCATTTGCCATTCGGCACTTTCTTTTTGAGAAGAATAAATGTGATTTTTACTATGCTCCATTTCCAATCTAGGCGAGATTCCATGATATAAATGGTTATCCTTAGACTGTTTCATATTGACTGACCGATGATAGTTTATATTTGAAGTGGAAGAATTAGGGCTGGGTGTATTATGCGAATAACGCGGGGTTTGTGAAGAATACGGTGTATTATATGGAGTCATAAATGGTGTTTGACCGCTCGGTGTATACGGAGTGTTAACATAGCCCCCTTGGTAACCCGGAGTATTCGGATAGTGTGGAGTGTGAAGTGCTGATGATTGCGATACATGAGGGTCCGAAGTTCTTACATCTATGTTTCCTCTAGGAGTATCATATCCTGTAGTTCTGACGCTACCACCGACATTTGGAGTTGAAGTAGGAGTGTTTGCTATAATTGGATCAGAATAATGATCTTTAAACCATTTTAACAGCGAATTCAGCGAATCAAACATTTGCCCTCTAAATCGAAAACCCTCCGGTATGACTGTAACGTATTCATGTCTGCATTTAGTTTTAGGTAAATATGATAACAAAAATTTTCCGGGATAAGATTTCGATGCTGATATAAAATAATGTATCTTTTTGGGATCCTTAGTTTTCTCCTCTTTAAGCAATTCTTCCATTTTATCTTTGAGTCCGCCACCTGTATCTCTGTAATACTTATAGGTAAGCAGTTCTCTAGCACATGCTGCCATCGGGTTCACATGTCGTGCAATAATTTCGTCTAAATCTTCAAATTCTTCATTTCCAATCCACAGACTTTGTCCTAAGCTAAAGGCGTTTTCCTTTCCTTCTTCCCGAACGTCAATGTGTTGGTAAATTCCCTCGGTAACTTTCCATGTTACTGTAAGATGATCTGATCCTTTGCTTGACGGTCGTACAATTACTTCTCCCTGATCCATGTTTTCCATAATTTTAACAACTTCTGCATATGATTTGTTATGGAAAGAGGGATGAATAATAACACGTTTTACGTACTGTTGCTTGGATCTCACTTGTTTCTGTTCATTTTCCTTTCGAGTGTCTTTTTCTTCCAATTCATAGTCGTAAAATGCATCCCTACGTGGTCTCCACTCATGATTTTTGTCCATTAAGTCAGAGCTCTTAGAAGAGCAATCGACAGAAAATCGTTCTACATCAATTTTAATAATGCGAACATGTATGGCTTGACCTGTTTGAACGCGATCTTCTGGATTTAGTACATGTTTGTCCGAGAGGTTTTTAATGTGGATAAAACCGGATAGTCCGTTATCTAAACGCAATTTAACCCCTGTTGCCTGACCAGGACAGGCACCAGCGTCGAAATGATTCCATACTTCAGATAATTCGGGGAAGTCGTCTTTTAAACAAAATGGACATTGCCAATGTCCAGTTTCATCATTCCTTACTGGGTTGGCTTGATCAAGTTGATCTCCCTGAGGCTTCTTATGAGATATTCCCGTTACAGTCGCTAAAACCATCTTTCCGACATAAAATGACTCTGGGGTTTCCTTGGTTAGCATATCGAACAATTCCTCTGAGTTCGGTGAGCGGTAAGGGATTCTCAGGTCTTTATATAAAGCATTTAGTTCTGTGCGTATGTCATATAAAGTTATGCTCTTATTTCCAAAACCTTGTCTTTCTAACTCAACAGCGAACGCGTCCAAGTCTAGATCTTTAAGTCTTTCTGGTGATTCTAAGATCTCTTCCAGAGCACCAGCAGGATTAGCTTCCTCATCATCATACTCCATAGCATCGATGGCCATTTTTCTTGCCCATTCGTAGGTTTCTGGATGGATTCGGGATCCATCTAAAACTTCAACGTAGGCTTCTGTGCTATCACCAAGCGAACTTGTATCTATTTTAATGAAGCCAGAACAATTTATAAACACTTTTGGCCCTAAATGGCACAAAGTTACTAATTGTGTCCGATTTTCTAACCTTTGATTAGACTGTTTGAGTAATTTGATCAACGCCTGTCCTTTTCGTGGCCCCAGCCCACAAATAAATTGCACTAAATTTTGTGTGTAAGAGTTCTGAACAGTTAAGTTTATGTCCAACCCAACTTCATTTGTACGATTTATAAATTCTATATACAAGTGTTCTAACATATCTTCTTTAGGTAATTGCTCTTGAAGTGTGTGATAACGAAGACAAAGGATTTCTTCGTCAGCGCTGCACAATTGGGAATATTCAACAAGTGGATCTTGCATTTTTCTTGCTAGTGATACGGCCTGCTTTAAAAGATCTGGATACTCCTTGAAATCAGATGCTCCTTTCTTTGAATTAGCATATATTTTCGCAAGCTCATTATCAACTATCTCCACAGAAATCAATGGAAATTGCTCTTCCTCTACTAGTTCCTTTACTATTTCCTGTACATCAATTTTTAGCATTTGTGCCTCTCGTGACTCCCCTCCGATAGCGATAATATGTGGTTTTTTATTTTGAATGAATTCCTTTAAATTTTTTAAGTCAGATATTTTTAAATTTTTTTCATCCGTTCGATACGAGTTTTTGCGCTTAAGAATATGTGGTAATCGAAGGTAATCGCTAACATCACCTTCAACCGTCGTAACAGCACAAAAAGCTGCCTGGGAATAATCAGGCACATATGCTAATCCCATTGCTCTGATTCCTTTATTATAACTCCAATCATCGTACATATAGTCATCTGCAATATCTGGGCGGTACGGTGCAACTTTTAACCAGTTGGCTAATTTCATGCAGCAAGACTTCAAAACAAACTGTTTTCCTTCATTTAGAAGTACGGCTTTTAATTCTTTGCGTAAATCTGGAATGACCATAATTTTTAATGCTAATTCAACGCATTCAGCTCGTAGAGAGTTCCACTCTTGTACCACTTTTGAAAATTCATCCCGTTGGTAAAGTTGTTTAGCTTCATCAATGTATGAACTACTAGATGTGTTACCCTCAATATGATCAGATATGGTTATTTCAATTAACTTATCTTCTTCAGCCATGTAAAGCCTCAAAAATTGATCGCCAGCCAAGTCTTTTACCGGTTTTTTCAGCAAGTATTTCATCGTGTAACATGGATGATTCTCATCAATTTCCTTCAAACCTTTTTTTGTGGGGTGAACATCTATTTTTGCTCGTTCAAAGAAGACTTCTCGCACACATTTTTTAAGCAGAGGTTCTCTAGATAGTTGACGAGCTACAACAAATTTAGTAGCGTGTAATAGTTCCTCAATAGTTATGAACTTAGGGCACAAGTATTGTTTCGCCACTTCTGCTGGACCAGCTGTTTCCTGCTCAACTTCATGACGCTGATAACTGTCTCTTAAATTTTCTGCGAATTGTTCGGGTGTTAGTCCAAATCTTTTTGCGAATCCACATATGCCTGCTTTACGACACATTGCATAAGGACCCGAATCTTTAGCTTGTTTCAACTGTTCTTCGGCTTCTTCTATATCGTCTTCTATGTTTTCCGTTATCTCTTCGCCATCCTGCTGACTTTGTCGGATTTCTTCTTCCCTGGCTAGTCGCTTTTGTTCTCTTTCTATCCTTCTAAGTTCCTCTTGCATTTTAGGAATTTCATGTGAATAATGAAGTAAGAAATGCATATGAACATCTTTTAATTCTTCCATGGTTTGAACTTCCTTCAATCTCTCTAAATCTTCATCTAGAAAAATTCGAATACTATCATCTGTTGGTTTGTCTGCATTTTTCTCCAAATTCGACCTCTGGAAGTCACGCATTTTTTCAAACAAAAGTTTCAATTTGTTCTTCCTGCTAAAAAGTTGACACCAACGCTCATCATAATAATATATCTTCCATAAATCTTCACAACTTAATTCGGGTTTTACGTATTCCTTTCTATAAAAAGCTATGAAGGGTACCTCCAATTGCTGGTTACGAATAAATTCCAAAGTTTGTTTAATTTTTCCCACAGCACTTATTGGCTTCTTATGTTTATCGCGACTTGTGTCCAAAGATTCTTGCTGAGATACTGTTTGTTTACAAAACGCCTGCTTATAAATCCATTCTGCTTCATCGTCCAATTCAGATGAACCTTCAACTACAGGCGTTACTGGAACTTGTCTTAATTGCATACGTTCAGGTATGTCTGTTTTTCGAATTTCATTATCGAGATCAGTAAAATGCCCTCGTTTAAGTTCACTTGGCTCGTATAGATCAAAAATTGTTTTCTTCGAAACTTTTTTCTTCGGTGCTTTCTTTTTACTTTTTGCTCGATCTTCTTCGGCAACGTCATCATCATATTCTTCGCCTTCAGATTCATCTTCATATTCATCTTCTTCATATTTAGCAAAATCGTCGTAGTCAAAATCGACTCCAAATATGTCTTGACCTTCCTGCAATGACCTACGAATAGATATGAAAATTTCGATATTAATTTTTCTGATTTAGACAAATCAAATTACTAATTCAGAATATGCTGAGATGTCTGCTATGAGTATAATATTATAGGAAAATCGATTCAAACATGCTTCTGCAAACAGATTTTTTTAATACTGTAATAAACAAATTGAATAAATATTTGAATATTGTTATTATCGCTTATATAAATTAATGAGATTGTGAAAAAATGCATAAACATTCATATAAAATTCTTTTCATTAGAATGGACATCCAGAATGGGATGCCTAAGTAATAAATGTATTTCTTAGAAGTATGAATTTAGTTTTATTAGTATAATATGGCGTAAACATAGTGTTTAAGTTAAATAGTTGTTAGAGCCCTCTGAAGTCAGATGTAAAAAAAACTCGCGTGCTCAAATCATAATAATTATGCAACGCTAACAGAATCAACAAGCTTGTATCCATTGACTTAATAATGGATCAACTATTTTCCAAAGATTATTTACGAAAATTTTAAACAATTTCATAAAACAAACGAAATTATAGATTATATAGACGACATTATAATTGGTGGCTAAATCCAGATCATGATTATGAGCTTACTTCAGAGAGTATTAGAAGACTTGGCCTTCAAGTTAATCTGAGCAAATGGAGAATCGCGTATATGAAAAGGTAATATTTTGGCTATAAAGTATCAGGATACGCTCTAAGATCTTCCGAAGATCATGTAAAAGCTATAATGAACTGCCTTAAACCTAAATACCCAAGGGTATTACAATCCTTTGCAGGACTTTGTTTTTATTTTAAGAAAGTTTTTCCAATATTTTTTAATATTAGCTCGCCCTTTATACAACCTTCCAGAAAGGAATTCTGAATTTGATTTCACTAACTTTCGAAAACAGAAATAATAATCTCACTCATTATTCCGGTACTAGCAAAGAGAAACAGAACTTTATTACGATGAAAGTGCTCTGAGTCAATTTTATTGTAAAGACGAGATGATAACCAACTTCACCCAAATGTCTACTTTAAAAAATTAATAAATAAAATTTTAACGGACCGCAAATCACTTACGTTAGCACATAATGAAAAATTTATTAACTGTAGAGTAGACAGAATATATACTTTTAATTACAAATAAGCCAATCTCGAGAACTAAACTTAGTTAATTTAAAAAAACAAATAAAAAACCGAAACGATTCATGAACAGGTAGGATATGAAAAACAAAATTAGGAACTATAGACAAAACTGCATAAATTCTATTATGTAAGAAACTTAGACATTACTTTTAATAATGGCGTTACGTTTTATCGATTTTAATTAATTAATTTTATCAAAATATTAATATTTGTCATAAATTACATTTACACATAAAAACTGAGTTTGCAATTTTCTTTCCTTCAGTAAGTAAAATAATTTAAAAATGTTCACTAGAAAAAGATGAAACCGTGCTAGCCCTTAAAAAAGTCAAAAGCAATTATTTGCAATGGCGAATGATCTTTGTAACTGTGATTTTAATTAACACAACAATTTTTAAATTACATTATTATCCCAAAACTTTTTCTTAGCAGAATGTTAAATTTGTTTTAATGAAAAGATTGTAATAAATATGTAATTCTTTAATGATACATTACATATGTACTCATAATTCAACATAAATAAATAATAACTACACAGATTACAAAAAAATTATTGGTTTCATTAGTGTGAGGAGCAATCATGAATATGGTTTACTTACGCGTCAGTGAAAATATGTTTACGCTTTTTCTTCTTCTCCGCGATTGGTCTTCCCTCATCATCAACAATAAAGTCATCCGCATCAGAATCTGATTCCTCTTCCTCTTCATAGGTGTCTTGTTCTTTATTGCTACGTTCAGATCGTCTTTCCAAATTCTTAAATAAAGAAAATTCCAAGTTTAAGGTTTTATCCATTTAAAATTCGTGGTGAAATTATTTTGCTTAGAATAACTTGTGTAAGCTTTAAAATTTTTTACTTTATTTTTATTACAAAACATAAAAAGTGGTGGTGGTGGTTGACTTATGAAAGTAAAATTTCATAGTACAGTAAATTAAATATTAAGTCTGATTGAATATAAAAGAGAGGGTTTCAGTGGAAAACTTACTTCGTCATCTTCATCGAAAAGTTGTTCAGCAATAGCTTCTCTGGCTAATCCTTCATCCACGTGCTCCTCTTCGCCATCGCTCTCTTGGATACGCCGAAGTCGTTTGAAACGTTTCTGTTAAAATAGGTTAAGATAAGTTAGTTGACCATAAGGCAAAATGCTTCTGACAATTTGGCAATGGCAACGTCAATGATACTATGGTGTAAAGTGGTAATAAAATTATCAGGCTCCTATAATGTATTTCAAAGTAACACATGTTTACTTTGGCACCCGCTTTTTATTTGCTTTCTAAATGAAGACTAATTTTTTAAGAACTATAGTAATTAAAAAAAAAACGCTCTGTGGCGTGGACACCGTCTGGTTGAAACCACATGCCATGCAAGTCAAGCTCTTGAATTTTGGGCAAAAAAAAGTTTGACATCATCTTACGGAAGCGCTCACCATTCACTGTTACGTTGTGATTCGCATCATCTTTGAAGAAGTACGGTCCAATGCCCATGAACAGCACCAAACTGACTTTTTCTGGATGCATTGGTAGCTCTTAAAATGCTTCTGGCCGATCTTCACTCTATTCAATAATTTGCAAGCGTTGTTCATTTGAAAGACGAACCATGGTTAAATTATAGACCAAACTGAAGATATCTGACAGTGGTGCAAAATACGAAACGTGCGTCAGCTGTTTAAACCAGTGTTGCCAAAAAGATAATAGCTAAAAAAATCACCCTTTACATAGTCAATCCTTGCTCTTCAGTTTTGTTTTTAGAGAGTTAGTTTTATTATCAAATATTACCACTTGATAAAGATGCGCGAAATATCAAATGAAAAACTTAAAAAAAAAAAGATTTTAAAAGGTTCATCAAAATAAATTGCTAAATATATTGCGAATTTCTCACACTAATGAAAAAAAAACTCGAAGAAACATAGTTGAAAGGATAGCCGTCCAAGGATACTCTCTGATAAATATGCGAGACACCCATGTGTCAATGTTTACTATCTGTAAAAGTAAAGACAAGTACTTGGTCAGAGTGCCAGGCAGCTAAGAAGCCTAAAAAAACCAAAGTTTTCCCTAAGGTCTGGGTATGTTTTTCTACTTTGGCCGAGCAGAATTAGAGCAAGTGTTGGAATCATGGAGACAATTACTCCAAACATTCCAGCGGTATGTATATTAATGTGTGCGATATTCGGACATCAGTGCAAAATAATTAATGTACAGTACCGTTATGTTTTATTATAACAAAATATATACATCCATGTGTATGTTGAGGTGTAATATGTTCTATTTGCTAAATGCCCTACAAGAACATTTTTCTCAGTTTTGTGTCTATCTACTTACCTTTCTTTCCACTTTCACACCCAAGTTTTCTTCAATTAAATCGTAATCATCATCTTCCAAACGATCGTACAGTTCATCATCATGCTTTTTTCTCTTTTTAGATCCCGTATCCGAATATTCGCCATCGCTTGCATCTTCTTCAATTGGATTATCGTCGATCAAGTCCTTCAATTCTTCACGTAACCGTTCTTCGTCATCTACGCAAAAAAAATATTTTTTATACATACAAACACATTTCTTTATAATTAATTCGGATAATGTGATCCCTAAAATATTTAAAACAGTAGCTTAAGTAGTAAAATAATCAAATCAATTATCTAGTATCTAGCTAATCCAGAGGAAAAGTGTAACCGACATCTTGTGTAGGGCTTTAATATTTTAATGCAGGTTAATGCGTAGGTGATCAGCTTGCACCAAAAACACAATGTAGAACGGTTCTCTTTTACGCATTTTAGAGGTTAGAGAAATTTTTATAGCAGCACAAAAAATTTTTAAATAGATTATAACAAGAAATCATAAAAGCTAAGGTGTCTTTTAGAGTCGTAAGACACCAGTTCCTTTTTGAAGATTTTTACCAATGATTTTAACAGGAAAATAGTATTTTGGAAAAATGGTGTTTGAATAAAATAAACCAACTGCAATTTTGGCAGAAAAAAGGTTTACATGTTGTTTCCAATCTCGTTAAAATTAATTAAGAAAACATTTTAAATTGTGATATTGACGATTTCCATAAAATCTTTTCACTAACGCCTGTCCTCTACGTATTTTAAATCACCTCATTTCATTACATAAATGAATGCGGGTATTATCATGTTAGATGTGCCACCTCCCTATAAGCCCCGACCAAAGGAATAAGCCTGTATTCCAACACTTTAATGTACAATAGTACCTGTTATTGAATCGAGACACTATGATCAGTAAATTGAACGTAGCTTTTGATGTAAAAGTCCTACTTCCTCCGAAATCGCGTTTTGAAAGCAAAGAGATCTTTTTTCGTCCGATAAGATAAGCTTTACAACAAATAGGCTGTATAAATGAATTTTAGTTTACTATGCCCCAATTGATGTAAATGTATTCTTTTGTAAATCGAAAACGCCATCTTCATCGGTTCAAGCTGATAATTGTTCGCTAACCACGGAGAGAAATTGTGAAGGTTCCAAAACATCAATTGCAAAGCATTGTAACGCATTCCTATAAGTAACTGAGCAAACTTTGACGATGTATCATTTTCCAAAATGCATCAGTAAAGTTATTGATGCGCAAATAAAAGCAAACTGCGCATCGCTAAAGTTTTCGGTGCTTTAATTTATCATAAGCAAAGTATTGTTGCAAGGCAAATTTATAGAATGCAGGGTTGAATTGATGTGATGCGGTTGCGCCATCGTATCATTACAAAGTATGTTGACGTTTTGGAACTTGCCCATTGCTTCTCCCTTGTCCCAGTCTTGAAATCATTACAATTCCTTGGACTCTGTAAGAAACTTGGCTCCACGCAGCGACTTCTTGCAAGTATTTTCGCAACTTGATATTGATAGTCCAGAGTAAAAGTAAGTCAATATTTTTCACTTGATTATATTTAGCCTTGCGGCATATTGTTCAAAAATCGTTTAACACTTGCATTAAATCTTTAATAAAAGCTAACTTTCCTACCAATGAAAGTAAGCTTTGACGCCAATAACGGTATCAGGCAAGAATATACAATAGTGCATACGATGACAGTAGAATTATTAAAGTGTCTTATGATTATGAAACGGACCTTAATGACTTTTTGTGATCCATGATTTATTATAGTTCAACGTAGTTGACATTGCAAGTCAATTGAGTCCATGTTTCTTTAATTGCATGTTTATCCGCGTTTTTCTCACTAGCCAATTCCAAATGTTGCTAATAGGGTTTAAGTCAGGAGAACGTGCAGGCCACTCCAAAAGTTATTTCGTGATCGGCATATCATTTTTCCTCGGAGCGCCTAAAGTTAGGAAACTTGTTGAAAAATTAGTGCTTCTTCAGGAATGCGGCTTATACAACCAATACCATTATAGAGCCAACGCCAAAATTCCGTTATGGAAAAATAATGATGATCAGATATTCCAATTGCAATTTCACGCATGGTCCCTTTTCGTTCAAGAAAGCACCCCTATTTTTTTCATTTTCATGCATTTTAGCTAAAGCTTAACGAAACACTTCTTCACGTCAAAATAAATATATACTTCAATATATAACTTCGCAATTTACGAAATCAATTAACAGTGCGTCTATAGCTTTGAAAAGCAGTTCACATTATATTTGACGCATTTTAACCGCTGTATTTATGTGAGGAGCTTTTTTTAGAAGAACTGATATTTCCTACCAAAGACCGACCGCAATTATAAAAAATAATATCCTGCAGTTTTGTATGTACGTACGATTAAGTACGTCGCTAATTCGGCGATGGTATTATACTTAGCAATTTTTAAATGTTTACCCAATTTAACATTATTGGGAGTCTCAACAAAAAAAAGTTATATAGTCGAAAGCTGAAATATTTTTTTCATAATTATTTTTGCGGCCATTATAGTATATATACTTTAAATTTTTTTTTGTTTCGAGAGGTTTGAGTTAATATGCTAGAATGCATTTGGACTCTCTTCTAGTGAACGGCGTTTCCGATCACCCCGAATTGCAGGCAACTATTTCCAGCTGCCCGAAAAACCCGAGTACACTGTCACAAATAATATCTGGTTAATGTAGTTAACTAAACTCTAATTTGCAACGAGAGCGCCATTTTGACGTTTAGATTGTAGGGGACCTGCAAATACGTGCTGCGAAATTTTCAACTAATAAAAATTTTCAAGTATTAAAACGGCAGATTTGTGATCTTATGGATTCACTTTTGTCAACGGAACAAAAATTATTTGAAATAAAAATAATGTTTATACCTTATTATGAATTATGATTATGCTAACAAAAGAAATAATTAAGTTCAATTTTGTTAATTTTAAGCAAATGACAATATTGATTCAATTAAATAGTGATGTCGTTGCGCCAAAACTTGGCGGCATTGGAGTGAAACCATCGCCCGTACAGCTCACATTGAGGAATTAGAATTCAGTAATATTGAATGCATCAAATTTAATATGCATAGATATGTATTCTTATTGTTTGTACAATTTAGTCAGACCCATGAAATTCTATAGTGTTCTGTTAACATTGCCAGCTAATACGGAAAAGTTCCAAATTTTTGCAAAACGAGTTTGATATAAATCTTCCTCCTTCCATATTATATCATAACAAATATATTTACTGGTTTCCTTTTTGCATACAATTAATTTATAATTATAAATAAGGAAGTTTTGAAAATGTTATTGTCGCTCCGTTTGATAAAAAATCATATTTATATAAATTTCTAGCTGCCTAAGAAATTATCATCTGGAGATTTACGTACTTTTTTTTGCATACGACACCTGTACCAAAATTTTTTTGATTTAGAGTACATAAAAAAATACCAATATTTTAAGCTATTTCAACATGCTCAGAAGAAAACATAAAAAATGACATGGCCTCGTCTACATATGTACGTTATCTTAGTACCGTTTCTCATGTGCACAGTTTGATAGAATATTTTAAATAGGTTACTATTTACCTTCAAAATATATTAAAAAAACTAAAATCTTTTATACACAAACGTGGGCAATATGCATACATGCCCTAGTAAGCTAACTTTCACTGCATAATCGAGAAGTTACCTAAAACAAGAATGCAGTCGAAAACATACCCTCTTCATCTTCTTCACTGCTATCAGCAAGCGCTTTTAGTTTCTTTAACTTTTTTCTGTCGTTAGCATCCAACTCCTCCTCTTCCTGAAAGATAAATTCTATGTAAAATACTTAACGTATGTACATGATGATTTGGGTCATCCTTTACCTCGGATTCTTCGGCTTCCGAATCCAAGAAATCTGCCATGTCACTAAATTAATCACACGTTGAAAATAAAAAACCCAACACGATTATAACCCTTTCACAAACTGAGTTTATACAAACATATTCTTTACCAATATAAGAAATATTACCATTTTGCAAAACAACGATATTGTCGTATTAATCACTTTCGATTACATTCTCACATTTCTAAGCGACCTCAATCCTAGTTAATACGTTCGTAGTACAATTTCTTATTATAACTACATACGCACGTACTAGCATAATTTACTTACATAAATAGATAACATGCAGGATCTGCACTGCGAGCTCAGGCCTATTATGCTTTCGATGCTTATGATAACTCTTTGTATAGTCCAGCTGCTTTTAGGAAACTTGGAAGACGTAGAGGGCTGACGGATCTGAAATAATTATCCTCAGGCTTCAGTTCTCCTACGTATTTTATTCTCCTTCTTGCTAAAAGGACACTGATACACAGAGACGAAGTCTAGTTTGTCTAAATGATATCGAAATTTGCAGTATAGTAGCCGTCCATAAGTTGTTTAGCCTATTTTCAGGCCTAATCTGACGAAGCAATAAAATTTATTTTGGTATTAAAATTTATATTTCGTACCACCCTGTAAGTTTTGTCAACCGTGCAATAGGAGGTAGCAAACAACCTGGTGTTTCATTTTGCATTGTTAGTTTGAGAATAACCTAAATATGTTAGCATATTATACGATGGAAAAAAAAACGGATACAGGTGCAAGTCAAGAATATTGGTGGAGGTTCATATACGAGTAGTTAGCAACACAGCTATTGCTGTTCTCTTCTTCCACATCTTGAAATAAGAACTGGAATTTTTAATAAAATGGAATAAAGAGTTATGTATATTGTCTTTCATCATATAATCAAAATTAACAGATGTGATTCCACTTCAAATTTCTCTCACTTTCTTGCAATGGATCCAAGTAGAAGGATAACCACGCGATTATTTATTTTCCTCATTACAGATTAATAAAATTATTTATATGCACAAGAATTAAGATAATAAAAAGTGTCAAAATATAAATTTGCCTTTGAATATTCTCATAGCTTTATTCATTCACTACGATTTTGTGTATTTTGCTGTCCAATTTTAATATATATTCCCAATAGTTACTCTTCAAGGCAGTAATGCGTTTTTTGCTAGGTTTTAAGGTAACTTCAACCTAAACAAGGCAATATATTGTTTGAAATATTTTGGCTAACATCAAATGAATCTATGTGGTTAATGAGATATCCACGATTACCTAGCTATTAGAAATTTAAACAAGATTTTTTTAACAATAACAATTAAAAAAATTTTATGTCAAACTCAAATGAAACCAGAGTTTGAAAAAAAATTTTTTGATCTGGATGTCAAACAGTTTGCAATTTTTGACCAAAAGTAAGTTAAGTAAATAAGCAGTTCTTTCTGAGATATACCTGTTTAAAAAAAATTGGGTTAAAGTGTTTGATTAGTAACGATTTAAAATAAGAATTAAATAAAAAAAATTACTGGCATCTCTTTAAGTCGTATCGTTATTAACATGAAATCGATATACGGTTCTAGAGCTGACCAATTTATCGTATAACAAGAAAAAATAACACTAATTAGGTTTATCATTGTTTGCATTGGTGTATTGTGAAATATTAATATTATTGAATATGCTATAAAAAATACAATTATGAATTGTCACCAAATTTTGAGTGGAGCATGTAATGCTGGCGATCGATGTTTCGCAACAGGCTCTGTGGAAGGAGTCTCGTTTACAGTAAGCTGTTTGTAGTAAATTATGCTTTTATTTTTCTTGAACTCGAAAAATAAAAATCTTTCGTTCATGTGATCTAAGATATAAATCTAAATCAAAAGTATATGTCTAATTGGTTTCTTTGGTCTTCCTTAATTATGTAATGAAAGTTTGTGCCATACACTGTTTTCAATTGGCATCCGATTAGACTTTAGTAGTAGTTTTTATAACGAAAATACCGAACAGAATTCAGTTTAGGGAGTTTACTATTCACAACTAATGATTATCAATAATCATATCTGTCAGACAAGGATGTCGTTGTATAAAATGACACAGGGCAATTATGTTGAAGGTAGAAGGTCGTGGCACCTGACGCCCCATTTCGTAAAAAGTAACATTTGTGTGAAAAAATATAGCAGCATAGTCGCGAAAATCAATATCAAAAAGATATTTCATTTGAATTCATCAGTTGAATAGTTTGTGAAATTCTCACCTACTTTATAAAAACAAATATATTATTGTCAAAATTTGTGATAAAAATATTAACGGCACAATTTTTAACAATTGAAAAGAAAAAAGATGCGGGCGTGGAACGACGACGAAATATAAATATATTTATTTATTGATTTATTTAATAATAATAACAAAGCATTAGTACAATAAGATTTCCATATCTTTTTAGTTACTTTACAGATACATTAACAAAAATAATAATAATATATAATGAACTGAGTATGACAAAAATTTAAACAATTATTAAATGGTCAGTCTATGCTTGAAATTTGGCCTTTAAAATGCATATATAATATATGTGGCTCTTGAGATTGCTTCTGTTTAACTTCCTCCTTAAGTTAGCAGGAAGAGAGTTCCATAATCGACTAGCATTGACAAAGAACAGCCTTGATGATTGCTGTGATTTATGAAAAGGTATTATTATATTACCGAGTAAACGATAACTTGGAAAAAAGATAACTAGGAGATAGAGTCATAATGAGTTTGCAAAGAAAAATACAATTTCTGGTTTTATGTTAGTCCGCAATCGTACATCCCAATATCTGATCTTTCCAAGACGAGATGTGCTCATACTTGGAAAGACCAAACACATACCGTGTGGCGTCATTATACATAACATCAATTTTACGAGCAGAAAAACTGTCATGCTAGCTGTATACGACTTCAGAGTACATGATAACCAGTAGAATAATTTGTATAGCAAGTCGGCGTCTGGTATCAGAATGAGATAGACCTTACTAACAATGGAGTTTGCATGGTCCCTGCATGTAAGATTAGAGTTAATAATGTATCTTAAGTTTTGAATCTTGCTGATTAATTTTAAGAGACAATTGTCTATGAATATTGAGGGCAAAAAATCCATAAGTGTCAGTTTTCTAACACTGATTGGCACCACACAGCACTCTCCTCTGCGGGTTAGGGGCTCAAGAATTTACCCGTGGTAAGGCATGTCTGTCGTAAGAGGCGACTAAAATCCAATAGTTCCCGCGACAGTTGGGTATTTATACCGGAACGACCCAGATTTTTATCCGGCCAAGGACTGTCACTCCCGCAATATTCCCCGAAAACCAATTCGAGGAATAATTTGCGGTTATAACAACAACAACAGCACATAGCTCTTGTTTTTATTTAAAATTAGACAGCTGGTAGCCGCCCAGATAGAGATATCAGCCAAGTCAGTATTAATGCTATTACATAACACTTTAGCTTGAATATCATCAATGATCTTTAGTACCGCAGTACTACAGCTATTAAGTTGTGCTTGCTTATGATACAAATTCATTTATTTGCTTCTTGGTCGAATATCAGACGGACTACAAGGATGGTTCTTTTGGGCGACAGGTAGTACAGTGCCAATTTCCCATTGCTCTGGGAAACAAGACGTGGTAATACAATGGTTAATAATGTGCGTTAGTGTCCCAAGAATGCAAGGTAGTATATTTTAATGAATTTAATTGGTAGACCATCATGCGTTCTTGCTTTGGATGAGATTTTAAATATACTCATTGCAACATCATATTCACTAAGATCTGAAAGTAGAAAACAAGCATCCCTAAACAAAAGATCTTCTCTGGATATAAAGTTAGTAGTGTCACTGTGAGGTACACAGTTTATGAGAAAGGCATTATTAACTACATTTGCTTCTAAGGAACATTCGACATTCTCCTTTCAATGAACACCAAGTCGTTTAATGTTACGCCATTGAACCTTTGTTGAGAGAAACGAGAAAAGTGTCGCTCTGTTTCGAGCCGATTTAAAGGCATTCCAAATCTCCAACGTGGGTTTCTTTTTCCATATAGAATGAAGTTTATTTCGTAACTTATCAGTGATTGTACGAACGGGGACATGTCTCTCGTAGACAGACTTCAAAATTCCCATTAAGAAATCCATATGTAAAGTTATTAACATTTGAAGCTTCACATTTATATACAGGAGGTTTAAAAGACACTACAGAAGCTTTTGAGAAATAAGAAAGTGTCTTACTATAGTTCCTATTACTTCTAAGTGGGGGAAAAACTTCAGTGGTTCATTTTTGTGAAATGGTCAGAGTTGGTAGTAGGATGAAGGAAAATTTATAGTTTAAAAGTTGTCATCATTTAAAGTTGCACTTTTTATGCACAGGGAGTCTGCTGGTATTTTACTTATAAACACACTATCGACACTTGGCTAGGGAGGCGTCGCTGTCTTGTTGCGCAAGTAAAAGCCTTTTCGATTGTTAGCTTACACAACGCAACATCATGTCCTTGTAAAAACTTCGCAAATTTCAGCCTTCTCAATAATGCATATAAGGTACCATCAAGCGTATTTTATGAAAGTCTGACTTCCACCGTCAACAAAATGGACCTTATCAGTGTGGTATTAGACCTGGTAAATCAGCGCTTTCAAATATTCACCATGCCCCGTAAAGAGAGGCTCCACACACCATCTTTCAATCGATTTTAAAGCAGCTTTCGACAGCTGTTCCTATACCGCCATTTCTGAATTTGGTATTCCCGCAAAAATTATAGGGCAGTGTAAACTGACACTGCATAACCCCAGAAGCGCAATCAGAATTGGAAAGGACCTCTCCGATACCTTCGGAATAAAGCGTCGACTAAAATCTAATAATTTTCACGACAGTCAGATCTTTATACCATAAGGACCGGGATTTGTAGCCTGCAATATTCCCCGAAAACCAATACGCGGAATATTTTGCGGTTACAACAATAATAACAGTACCACCTTGAACTGGATGTGAAAGTTGATGGCAAAATTCCGACAATCAGGGGTGTTACAGAAACTGAATGTTGTCGGAATCAGAATTGAATACTTGATGTAAAAATGGTACTAGAACACGGTACTTGATGTAAAAATGATCACGAGTTCTTCGTTTTCTATTGTCCTCCATTCCTAAAATTATTTAATGTGTGCAATTGAAAAAAATGCCTTTAGCACAACCATGTGGCTGTAAGATGGAGCACAGCTATGATATACAGTCTATACAGTCAATGATATCCAGCACTATAAGAAAGGCTTATTTGTTAAGACGATATTGGTCTATGACATACAAAAAATCCTCGGCTACCCTTTTCACCAGCTGGACGAACTCCGACTATAAATAACCGAAGGATATTGGAAGTCACTCTTGACAACTTGCATTTCTTCACTCCGCATACGAAGGCAAATTACCGCAAAACTCTAGAGCCGCAATATATGTATTAAATATTTCGAGCTCGACATCGCCAGACCGGATAACAAAATTCAAGGTGTAGGAGCCGGTAAGGCTAATAGCAGACATACGTGTGCACGTACCTTACGAGTTTAGCCTTATGTTATAGTCTAAGCATTTCATTATTTGTAAGAACGATGGCAACCCTAGACTCGTTGCATAAGGCTCTCTATTACCACCATTTTTGAAATAAACAGTTGGTTCGCTTGGTTCTGTTTTGACCGGGAAGACAAGACGTGTTTAAGTAAAGTGCTCACATCCTTCAAAGAGCAGTATGCATGCGGCCAATACCGCCGTTGATAAGGTGATACTGCTCAATGTTGTGCAGTATGAACACCAAGCCTCCATCATGATCTCGGGGGTCCATGATGCGGGGAGCTCTTTTCGATCCCTGATGAGAAAACTTTGATGCATTTAGACTAGAATTAGACTAAAACCATGCCCTGTATTTTTAAGTGTCAAATAAGTCGATGGGAACACTTAATGGCGGTGGGTAAAGAATAAAGGGAGTTCTTTGTGTTTGCAAATCACCCAACGCCGAAAGTTGGGCAACTTTCATCTTTGTGCCCGCGTGGATTTTAATTTATATTTATTTTCTTAATATTTCGTTTTATTTGGGAAAAACTTTAGTGTAGAGCCTGTGGTTTATTTTTATGAAATGGACACAGTTGGTAGTAGGATAACTACAATTACCAAAAATATAAATTTAATCGCGCGCTAATTTATAGTGTAAAAGTCATCAACATTTAAAGTTATACTTCTTTCATTTAATTAAATCTTATTCTTTAAATGTTAACATTGAGTAAATATTTATAATCAAATATATAAACTACAACTGTCTGAACAGCGTTAAAAAAACTTAAAGGAGTGCTGTAGTTTTAGTAATCTCTTATGACCACAGCAATAATAGAACTTTCTCCTAAGCATATTTCATGTTCAAACACATTACAATTGCTTACAAAATTCCCTTCCGAGTTTCGAAATAATTATACATCCCATAAAATAAAACTACTTTACTGTTAATGGCATTTGAATTAGCAAACTTTGATTTTTAAGCTAACGACATCAATTTTAATTTTTTTTTCTTGAACTCGCCATGAATTAGACAATTATTACACTGAAAACAAAAACAAAATACAATAGTTGCTTTTGGCGGACAATACTTAGAATTATGTATTTTTTATTACTTTTTGTTTAGTAAAATTATTTTTTTTTGAAACAAAAAACGAGTTGATGAATTTGTACTTCCAAATTAAAATTCTCTGAGTTGACGATTCCTAGCTTAGATGTGGGGTGGGCGGGTGCTGATTTATATTTATTTAAATCAATATTGATATTTAAATCAACTGCCACTACATTTTCTTTTTAATCGTTGATACCATTCGAATAAACTTAATAAAAAATATTCATCTTTTTCCAGCACATCATTTATATTAAAGTAAAAATGTAATTTTCATTTTAAATAATTTTAATTTTGTTTAAAAAAAATTTGCACAAACATATGTTCTCTTGCTTGCTAATCCTCACTAGCATAATTTTTTTTATACATGAGCACGACGCTCAACAAAAACATTTCTCCGCCGAAGCACGTACTTGGCATATAGAGTTTTAGATTCTTTAATTTTATAGAAAAGGAGTTAAATTTCGGTAAATAAAAAAATTTAATAAAATAAAATAAAATAAAAAAAGTCGTAAAAATCGGGAAGGTACTTTCTGACCGAAGCCGGTGAAAACACTTGACAAATCATTTACACCGAATGAACCGTTCAGCAACCATTCAATGTACATATACAAAAGTATTTAAATTGGAATTTTTTTTATTTTTCAGGCATATGCTGCAGGATGTAATATTGTGATCTTGGCTAGCACATTTGAAAGAGTGCAAATTATTCCAGGAGCGACACATGGCTATGTTAAAATTTCCGCACTTGACTGCAGTACCGATACCGGAAAAATTGCTGCGTCTTATGAAAACAAGATATGTATATTCGAGCCCACTCCCGTTCTTCTTACGAACAAGAATGTCAAGCACTATTTGGATTATAGGTACTAATATATATTTATGTGCATATGTATTTATTCATTTATTCATTTGGGATCAACTCACTTTTTCCACATCTAAGAAAGTCAAGCAAGTTCTGCATTTCACTCTTGAGTGAAAGCATAATGCAATTGCTTAATTTTGCCATTTTGGTGCTCTGCATCGTACGGAACTCAAATTCATTTTTAAACATTAAATTCCGATTCCACATATAAACATGTTGTTTAAAACATTTTCAAAATTGGCTTGCTGATTAATCGAAAGATCGCGGTAAATGATACGTAGATGCAATTACGTTTTTTATAAAATAAGAAAATATTTACATTAAGTATTTAAAATATCTAATGTTTAGCGTAACAAATGAGTTTAACAATAATGTATACCGTATACCATGCCCAACGTACAGATAGATAGATTAGTAAGGAGGAAATGAATGGCGACCTGTGGCTAGAGGGCTGATTGATTCCTAAGTGTTTATGCATTCTTATTGCAACAGCTTCAGAATTGACAAGTTTTATCGGAGCTTATTCCAAGCCTGTCCACGTGCTTACTCAGTCTGCAATGCCCTGTAAGAAATCCTGTTGGTATTCTTAAATTATTCTTTTGCTTTTGAATTTTTTTGGTACTGTAGCAGTGTATAGTCTCATTTCGTCGTTACAATACCAATATCTGTTTCCTTTAATCATTTCCTCCTCTTATCTCTTCTCTAATAAAGCTGAGACCTAAGGGAAAAATGGCTCAGGTTCAGTAGGAGAGTCTATTTGCTATTTCACATTCCCATACCGAATCTCCTTGTATTTTTTATTTCATAAATATGTTATTCAAATTCAGAAAATATTTTTGAAAGCAAACATTTTTATTATTATAATTAATTAAACTAAACTCCTAAATCAAATTACATTGGTGATTTTCTACAGTAAAATTTTTAATTTTGTCAACTGGCATTAGCTTTTTGAAACTTCATTGGGAAAGCAAAAATATAGCTTCAAGCCACTACTTTTGCAGAATATCCAAAATGAAAAGTTCACCTTTGGCTGACATTTACAATTTACAATTACAACACCCCATTAAAACTCTCCTGTCTATGAATGATTTGGCTTGTGAAAAATTGGCCTCAAGGTCGTTTGTCCTAATTTTTTGCCAATAGGGACCAGGGTTTCTATGAGGGGCATACTGACATTACAATCAAAATAGTAAAAAAGTAGTGCATATTCGACATAAATCGGATAATTATAACCACGGCAAATAAAGCCTTTAGAACAAACATAGATTAAAAATAGCATCTAAAAAACCAAAAAAAATTGGGTCATGGTTTAACATTTTGGTCAAATTTGATTAATATCAAACGTCTTAAATATATCTAGGAGACAGAAGGCCGATATTTGTTGACGGGCGGCCGCGGTAGCCGAGAGGTTAGCATTGCGTACTGACATTCGGAAAGCTCGGGTTGATAACCCGTTGCCACGAACATCCAAAGGTTATGGAAAATTTATTTGAATAAAAAAAAAGTTAAATTTTCTAATCGCGGTCACCCTTGGCAGGGAATGTCCACCCTTCCGAGTGTATTTCAAACAAGAAATAAAGCTCCTCATAAAAAAAACCATCAACCTTTCAGAGGCAGTTTGGTATAAACTGTAAGACCCTCCATATTTTGGAAAAACATCAAGACGCAAAACCAGAAATTGGAGGAGGAACTCGGCCGAAAAATCGCTTCTGGATAAAGTTTTTTGGTATACTCATCATTAACAAGCAGGTTAACATTAAAGTCGCCACAAACAAAACGACGTTCGTAATGAAGCAGAAACATCGCTAGATAGGCAAAGAACAAGTAATAAACAAAACTTATTTGGATTATACTTACTTTCACCATCCGAAACCTCAGTAATTATAAACTCCGTTCCAAAAGTGACATAGTTTAATTTTTAGGCTATACCTGAGGCTCGTTGTTGTTGCTGTAACCACAAAAATGTTCCTTGGCCAGATAAAAATCCAAGTCGTTCGTGAGGGCACTATTGGATTTTAGTCGCCTCTTAAGACAGGCATGCCTTACCGTGGGTAAACTCTTGAGCCCCTGATGCTGCAACTGTTAAATCGAATATGTAGTAGTGGCTCCACTGGAGCTTAGTTTGTATTAGTCCAAAGCCCCACACGCGTTAGTTTAACGTGCACAATACCCCAGAAGCGAGACTACAACTTTGATATTTTTCCTCTATCGTCCTGAATTGATTGTAAATTGAAATTAGAATATGTCATATAGGTAAAATGTTTTGTGCTTTGTTTATTTGTTTTGTTACATTTAGATGGGTGCAAACCGGTTCCTTTATGTGCAACTATCATGTTTTCACACTTTCCTGGAATTTAGAAGGCACACGTCTTCTAACCGGAGGCTCTATAATCGAAATGTGGAAGGAAAAAAATACAGAAAAAGTAGAGGAGACTTCTAATGGTAATAACAATCTTCCTAAATCCAATATTCAATTGAAACCAGATTACACATAAGTCACTATTTTAGGTGTAAAATTCGAAATTGGTGGCGGCGATCGTGGTAATAAAACCCCTACTAACGAGAGTCAAGATGAAGTAGTCACCTGGGACACAATATGGTCGTGCCAGACTGCCATTCCTATTTATCACATGGCATTTAGTCCTGACGGCACGCTATTCGCAACTTGCGGGCGTAATGATAGGCTTGTAAAAATTTGGTATGAAAACAAGCAGGGTAAGTACAAACCGACCATTAATATTTTCTTATAATAATTTTATTTGTAATGTATTTTTTCAGTTTTATTTCCATCTAAAAACAATAGCAAATCTGTTTTTGGACAAGAAGCAGAACTTAATTTTACATATGTTTATATTGCACATCCAAGAGCAGTAACAAACATTGCTTGGCGAAAAACGAGCAAGTATATGCCGAAGGGATCCGTATCTAATATGATAGTTACTTCTTGTCTGGACAATATCTGCCGCATTTGGATAGAAACTGTATTGCCCGATGATGGTTTAATTAATATGACGCAGTTTGATCCTTTGGCATCCCAAAATCCAAAATTTAGAACGCAACGGCACAAACATCGGTTCATGCAGCGATTAAAGCATATGAAAACTTGCTTTCACATTAGAAGACATGCTAAGACAGAGTCAGGGATGGTTAATTATCAAGCAAATGCTTTAGCAGACACCTTTCATGGGCCAATACCATCTCTGCCGTCTTCATGCAGCGTTCATGACTTTCATTCATATGGTTTTCATGGAACGGGTGTTTCTCCAGGGATGCATTTTCACTTAGCCGCTTCAATCAACGCAGAAACAGATATTCCACTAGTTCCGTCAATGCATTCGTCGGATAGTTCCAATCAAAACAGCTTTATTTTACACTGGCTTAATAATAAGGAAATGAATTTTTCTCTACAAGCTGAAGGCATATTACAAGAGCTAACTAAAAAAATAATTGACGAAGAAAGTACAAGTGTATCCACTAATAACGTTTCAGAACATAATGAACCAGAAGTTGCAGATGAATCAAAAAAGAAGTTCTTCCGAGCTTTGTCAAAGTCATTATCTGCAGAGGATAGTAATTCTGAAGAATGCAAAAGCTCACCACAGCACAATAAAATCGGCAATTTACAGAACACAAATTCAATGTCAAATACAGCATCCCTAAATTCTCTTAATAATGATAATAATCATATAATAAATCAGTTTGCTGACTCTTTAGATTTCAAAATTGAATGTTTGTTAAGAGATTGGCATCAAAGTCCAGATCTAGTGTTTGCAATTCATCCAATTGATGGTAGTTATCTAATATGGGTGGTTGATTGGCTCGACGATTATTATCCTGGCTCTTTTCGTCAAGCCCAAATTTCGTTTTCAACACGAATACCTTTTGCATTTCCTCTTGGAGACGCGATGTCTATGTCAACTACAGTGAGTTTATATAATACGGGATCGCCACCACTCATTTTTAGAGAAATTGCAAATAGCGTCAAGAGTAGAAATGAAGATATGGCCTCATTTAAAGAGTCACCGAATGCTTCACCAGTGAATAAAGCAAGTAATCCGGACATAAATGAGCAGGTTTTGAACACCATAACAACTAGTATTTCGCCGTCTGTTTCCATGGTTACAAAGCACTCTAATGGGACATTAAATTTGTGGCAACTAACTTTTGCATTAAAAACGAAGTTTACCCAAGTTCTTAGCATTGGACATGTGTGTAGAGCTTCCGGTCACCGATTCAGAGTTAATGACATAACATGCCATCCTGTTTTACCACTTCTTGTCTCAACATCACATCACAATTTACCAGAATCTGAAAAGAAAATGCCTAACAGTGCTGAGAACCTCCCATACAATAAAGACGTTTTCACACCATCTGGATTTTGTTCCGAATTAATATTGTGGAGAGTTGATTCTGTTGGTCCGCTTTGTCATTCGGGCGGTGTAAGTGAACTGGCACGTATTAATTCACCAGAAATATCAGCATTTAGTAATGTAGCTTGGATTCCTACTTTATTACCCAGTACAACTTTGGGAAGTAGCAGCAATTCTCCATCAGCGTGTTTTGTTGCTAGTGATGGCGAGAACCTCAGAGTTTATCAAGCGGTAATTGATGCTCGTACTTTACTTGCGGAGATATCTTCATCAGAAAATGCAAATTCCTTTTATAAATCCAACTCAATGGTGTCAATTTATTCAAATGCTTCATCAACATATAAAATGAGAAAAACCCCTTTTCATGAAAAATTAAAAGTTGTTTCACAACAGTCCACTGCTCGTCCCGGATGCATAATTCAACTTGATCCAATATCAGAAGCTAAACACGATTGGCAAAATACACAATTTTTACACGTATTTCAAGCCCAACTAATTGATGGAGGACATCGAATGGAATCTGATTTAGATGCAATTGTTGATTTGCAACAAAATTATGAGTTTAAGGAGCCATTTTATATTGTTATAATCGAAAAAACTATTAAAGGTAGCACAATACATATGTGGAGAATAATTATTTCTTCGAAGGAACAAAAAACTTTTCTACCAGACACTGCGATGTATGTCCCAGATAGTAATCTTGTTCAAGATATAGAAGACTCGGATTTAGCGGGGCGTAGAATGTCTGCCGCTAATGTATTACTTAATAATTCCGAAGATCAAGGAAATGATACTTCACATATGACAATAACAACGGAAAAAGTTTGCACCCAGGAGCTACCAATGCCAGAAGGAGTTGATGTCATCCATGCTTCCCCAGCTGCTGGTCATTTAAGCTCGTCTTCAATCTACCCAGCTTGTTATGCGCCCTATATAATAGTGACAGCATGCTCAGATTCAATCTCCCGCTTTTGGAAATGTGAAACAACTTCCGATGATCCTGAAGATTTATCGAAAAAAATGTATAAATGGGTGGAATGGAAAATGTTTAGTAGAGTACAGGATTCTGCCATAGAAATACCTGGGCAGCCTTTAAATATTAGCGCTGCTTATTCTGGTCGGGTGGCTTGTGCTTATAAATATGGTAAAAGTTTTACTCGTCCTAACAAAGGCGATCCAGATTCCAGATATATTAATCTTTGCGTAGCGATTTATGAGTGTGAAAGTTCGGGAGGAAGTGAATGGGTTCTAGAAGATACAATTTACTTAAAAAACGTTCATTTGCCACGTATGAACATTGATCATGGTATTGACCTTAGTTATTTGCATGACAGTAGATTACTGCAGAAGAAACAACGTTTAAACCAAGTTTTCCAAACTTTCACCCAAGAAGACGGAAGATCTCCACGAAGCGGAGATACAACGCCTGAGCTTACAACTAAAACATCGTCTACTTCTGGACTGCTTGCAGTTCCTAGTTTTAGTACTCTACAATCTCTGAGGAAAAGTATTGCTGAAAATGGAAATACCTGTCCATTGACCCAAAAACATCTTGTTCAACTAGATTGGGTATCAAAAGAGGACGGATCACATATATTAACAGTCGCTGTAGGAAGTAAAATTCTTTTATATACTGCAGTATCATCTGATATTGCACAGGCTAATATTAAAGCTATGAAAGTGTCTAGATCAGCCAATCGTCCAATTTTACGTAAAGCGAGCTCCTTGGCTCAACCACATTTTAATGATGAAATCCGTTGGATGAAACTACGTCAAATTGATTTACATACGGCCGATGGGTTACCACCCTTACCTATGCAAATATCATGGGTACGGGACGGAATATTGGTGGTTGCAATGGACTCTGAAATGCATGTTTACTCACAATGGAAGCCTCGTTTTAATCAGCAACATAGCGTTGAAGATATCTGCGATTCAAGAAATCTTCGTGATGAAGACTTGAGATCTTTGGCTAATGAATCCACGCAACTACGTTTAAAAACGGCAACGTCTATACCGTTAATAAGCAAAGTTAGTACTGCTAATCTTCAATTACTTTCTAATGAGAAACGTAAGAGGTACGGAAATTCTAGTGCAAGTGTTCCAACGGGCTGCGAAACATCAAATGATGATTATATGCCTGATTTCGGGTTGTTTCAGGCATCTCGAATCGCATGCCCTGTACTTCCACAATATCATCCGAAGCAACTAATGGAACTCTTAAATTCTGGTAAAATCAATTGGGTCAAGGCAATATTAGCTCATTTAGTTCGATGTATGAGCAGTCCAAATGAATATGCATCAACTTCTGAGGACGGAAGCTCAGAGAAGCAGGTAATAAAATAAATAATATTAACTAATTAATATTGTTATTCTTATTGCATTGGTTAACATTTTCATAGCGAATGAATGTTGGTGAGGGACTTTAGATGAGTTGGATTTAGAGGACTCACGTAAACGCAATTTTTATAATGAGGAAGCAATGAGTTGTTTGGATCGGGGTATAGTCTAAAAAGCTATAGGTTAAATCTTTACAGTATGAAGACCATAGTCTTAAAAAAGGGAGACCAAGCTCAAATGGAAACAAGCATTACAAAATATAAGGTCTATTATATAGGAGCTAGATCTTGTGTGAGGACTTCAGTACCCGTTAAAACTAGCGTAATGGTTTCCAAAATATACTTTTTGGCATAAATGTAGGTGGTGCCACGCCCATCTGAAATTTTTCCTATCCTTCATATTTTTCCATCTAATGATGTCGATGCGACTTAGATTAAACTGTGGGTCCTCAATTATAGTGGCAAATTTTGAGTCTTCATTCTTGTTTCTTCTTTAACAATTTTTGAATATTATTTTAATTTTATGTATAAATTTATAACAAGTATAATTAAATTTCAGCGAGCGTGGTCCCGATCTAGAACTCTCTCCATCAGCTATGTAGGAGAAATAAATGTACCAAATGAGCACAGAGGATCAACTACACAGGTTTGCCCATTTGAAAAATCACTGCGTAAAAAATGCAATTTACGTTAAAAAATATATATTTATGTTTATATTAAAGGTACCAGAAGAGTTGATGCTTGACTATACTGAAATTACATCTATACCACCTTTACCTTTATGGGTGCTTTTAAACGCTGATAAAGAGTTGCCAGGACAAGGAATGAATGTTCTCGAAAACGGTAAAGATTACAATGAACTTTTTGAAATCAACAAATCAGAAGATAATTTGGACGATCTACTCGATAACGACGGCGAGCATTGCAAGTTCGAAAGAAAACTATCCATGCCGGAGAAGTTAAGTATATCCCATTTCGGCTCACGTCAAGGCCAGCTACTGTCGCGCCTTCTCACTCATACACATTTACCTGGATTATCATCTTTGGATCAAATGCATCTATTGGCACTTGCCGATACTGTTGCAAATTTTAACAGTGATTTTAGTGAAAAGTTTTCTTCGGATCATGGAAAGAGTGTCCCTAAAGAGATGACTGGTAACGCAATGTCAGAATCATTGGATGATTGTGGTTTACGGTTTCTTCTCGCTATGAAGCATTTTACGTATCTTTTACGATGTTTGCCATTGAACCAAAGAGCCCAATTTCAAAAGCAGGGCATTGGAACGCCCAATATAGTATGGGCTTTTCATTCTGAAAGTGAAGAGGAGCTGTTGAATTTGATTCCGTCATATTCGAAAGGGGACCTTAGGTGGTCCACCCTTAAGGATCTTGGTGTGGGATATTGGTTGAAAAATATAAATACCTTAAGGTGCTGTGTAGAGAAACTAGCAAAGAGTGCATACCAAATGAAACAAGATCCATTAGATGCGGCCATATTTTATTTGGCTATGAAAAAGAAATCAATTGTGTGGGGTCTCTTCAGGTCTAGGCGAGATGAAAAAATGACTGCATTCTTTTCCAATAATTTTTCTGAAGATCGATGGAGGAAAGCAGCGCTTAAGAATGCTTTTGTTTTGCTAGGAAAACAACGTTTTGAACACGCAGTTGCATTCTTTCTTCTTGCAAATTCTTTAAATGATGCAATAGAAGTTTGTATAAATAAATTGGAGGATTTCCAGCTGGCATTAGTAATAGCAAGACTTTTTGAAGGTGATATCGAAATATCCTGTAAGTCGACTTATCGTAGCCTACTCTCTGAACACGTACTCGGATTGACCGATGAAAATAGTGTATTTGATGCAAATAAGGCACATCCCGATCCTTTTCTTCGATCGATAACCTATTGGATTTTGAAGAGATATCAAGATAGCTTGCATACACTGCTGTTAAATGGTGTTGGTACAAATCATGCTGCTTTTAAAGAAGAAGATATGTTAAAATCTGAAACATCTGCTACCAACCCCAATGTTTTTAATTTCTATATATATTTACGTACACATCCTCTGTTGGTCCGCCAAAATTTAGCATTGTCTGCACAGGAAAAGAAATGTGCAAATGTCGTCCTATCAGGATTTAGTTATTCTGGGGATAATCAGAAGTCTAAATCAAATGATAAACAACTTCAACTTGAAGATTCAATTACACCAATTGAGAGGCAACTTTACTTTACCACAGCTCATGCACATTTTAAGGCTGGATGCCCTGCTTTAGCTTTGGAAGTTTTAAATAAATTACCCATGAAGATTATGGATTCAAACAGTATTTTCGAAGAAACTTCCACCAACGCTTATAAAGAAGACCAAATTACTTCTGGTATAATTGATTGGAGTGCGCCGGTAGTGGATTCTTCTACAGATTTTGATTGGAGTGCTCCTGTTTCGTCTTTACAAAAGGAAGAAGCCTTTGAGATAAAATGGGATGATAGTGAAGCTCCCGAAAACGAGGAGGATGATGAAGCCGTAGAGCAAGTAGAAAGTAAACCGCAAGAAACTGATAATGAACCGCAAAAAAATCAGTTGGGAACATCAAAAGATGTCAAAATAGATATAATGGCTCAGCAACTAAAATTCGTAGCTTGTTTAAAAATATTAATGGAAGAACTTTCAACTTTGGCTACTGGATTTGAAGTTGATGGCGGTCAACTACGATATCAGCTTTACATTTGGCTGGAGAAGGAAGTTGAAGCACTAAAGCAGCTTTGTAATTATTGCAACTACGACTCCGTTGATTTGGATTCTTCTACGCAAATATTAGACGTTACACTTAATGTGAGTATAGTTATCAAGGTATGAGTTTTATAAGGGAAATTTATATTTAAATGAAAATATTTATTTACTTAATATAAAACTTGGAAATAATGTTCGAAAAAATAACATAGTTTCTCTTGGGTTAAATGTTTTTGTGAGACGATACCTGGCTGGATATCTGTGATTGTAATATTTGGTGCCAAATATTCATTGTGGTTGTTTGAGCTTTTTTTTTATTTTGCTGCCTGGGTATTGTTTCACATCCGAAATCAACAATATTCTACAATAGATGTAATTAATGATCAAGGCATTTCCATGGCTTATTGGTTAGAGCGCTATTATCAGATGCCATACATAGAAAAAATTCGCTTCAGCTAGGCTTAGTTTAAGAATCAGCAATTTTGAATTGTAGCTGTTGACCTTATTTGAAGTCATAATTTCGCCTCTGTACAATTAAATTTTAAAGTTTCGAATTACTAAATTTCAGCTGTCGACCGTTAAAAAACTCTTGCCCTTCACGTATAGGCAATTTCCGTACGTTGTTCGGATGGAATACCTCGCGTCGGATGGGCGAAAGGAGGGTAATTGGGGGTTATAAAATAATGCATAAGCCGATATCGTGTTACTTTTCACTATTAACAGTATTCGATCCCCTATTTTAAAGTAAAACATTGAATCAAAAGATCTAAGCGGCATCGACTCCTGCTTTCGAGAAACGATTTATCGGCTTTTAAAGTCACTTATCCTAATACTTTGAAGTTGTTGTCAAATTTGGTAGCTCCCCAAGTATAAGATGCCAAAGACGATGCTCATTTGACCCATGCGAAGACTAGATTTCACTAACTCCTTCAAGATTATTTTTAATGAAATCATTTTATTTAATTTTTTTTTTTACAGGAAAGAGACCAAAACTCTACATCTTTCGTACTATCTGAGAAACCAACTCTGCATGAAATTTTAATGCAAGAAAAATACGACTTTGAAGCTAAAGTTTTCAGAGCCGCCAAAAGGAAGCGTTGGCTTAAAGGTAAATTAAACCAATATATTTAATTTTAATATATTTTTGAGGCTAAAGGGCGAATATACCGTTATTATTATAAAATTGCACAAGTGTGTTTTGACTTCGAGTATAAAAATTTCAAAAACCAATTTCAAACAAATCAACAGAGAGCGAATTGTTGGGATACCAAAACTATTTCAATTTCAGTGAAAGGGGACAAGAAGAAATAATTAGCGCTCCCTAATGCCTCCCATGACACTGTTGACAATCATAACTTCGAGGTCGTAGACCATTTCGGGTCCAGTATTATCACCAGCAAAAAAAAAATTTCAGCCTAGAGATCCATCGTAGAATCACTTTTGTAAGCAAGTTTTTCTTTGGACAATTCTACGTCCAATTATAATTAATTGAATCTAGCTCAAAAGCAGTTAATGACGGAGCACCAATAGAAAAGGTCCTCTAACAACTTGTTCCCGTTGAAGTACAAATGCTCTTTTTAAGGGTCTATTTTTTGTTCGTCATCACATATAACTAAATACCAAATTAACCACGGATACTTAGTTCTTTAAACTAACTTTTTTTGTTAGGTTTGTTGCAATTCGCCTCTGGCTTCATTTGGTACCTTCAATTGGCGGCGGTTAACGGATGAAAAATTTAGCTATAATCGCATAAGCGGTGCTCAAGAAGGAAAAATAAGCGAAAGGGTTTCCTTTCGTAATACTAATGATTTAAAATAAATAAATAAAAAATTGTTGAGATGTTTTAGATTATAACCCATATAGGACAAAATTTTGATGCATTTATATATTTAGTAAATAAAACTAATTTTTTTATACAATACCTTTTAAATACACGTATCTATATATACAATATTTTGTCTAGGCAATGAAACTCTTCTAAGGACTTTGCTCAGCTATTGTTCGCTTCATGGAGCTAGTGGAGGTGGTCTTGCTTCCGTGAGAATGGAATTAGTTCTTCTTTTACAAGAACTCCAACAAGAGAAAACGCAACAACAGTTATTAAGTCCACTTCCCTTCCCTACAACTCTGCCTTTATTGAGCGCTTGTGTTGCTGGCAATAAAACTGTTAGCGCTGATCCCATCAAGTATTTACAGGTATTTATTATTAGATTACCGATAAGAAATATTACCAAAATTAACATTTTTATTTATAAGTACTTCTTGGTGAGTCACAAGGATATCTACTTATATTAATTATCCTCACATACAGGCAAAGTGACTAAATACAAAAGATATATAAGAAGCGATTTATTAAATACATTATGCTATTTTATTGAATCCGTTTTTAACTTTAAAGTAATAAGATTCCAATCTCTTATCTATAGCTTCATTATATTATTTTTTATTAATGAAGATTATCCTATTCCATATTCGGTTAGTTGCATTGAAAATTTGAATAAACATATTTAGTTAGTGGATACATTATAAGTTTTTTTTAATTATTAATAAATAAACCCAGCAAATGATATACGTCTACCTTTTCAGTCGCAGACAATTGATATGCTGCAGACTATAATCAAAATATCTCCCCCACCCGGAGTAACATCAAATTCCTTCTGTGAAATCTTCATTCTTAGAGATTTATCCATCGCTCTCTCATCATGTATTTATCAATCCTTATGTGACTCGGAAAGCTTTGTTGTACATAATAGCTCAACATTAAATGGATTTCAAAGTCCTGGAATAGAAAACATTGCCAAATTAAATTCACTTTTTGAGTGTTCTCATTTAATTGGTAATACAAATGCTTATAATAAAAGGAGAAAGTACTCCTGCGATGAATCCACTGCTGTTTGTACTTCTCCAGCAAAATGGCCCGGTGTTACAAATTTAAGAGCGCTGTTGGCAAGGGAAAAAGATGAAGACATTCCAAAATTAAATGTTTTATTACTTGAGTCATTTATTGCAACATACATGTCTCTGTTAATATATTCAATGGCCACTTGCGATTGTCGTTTGTTATACAGACTTGTTGGACAAAAGTTTTCAACCGACACATGGTCAACTATATTTGGCGGTGGAATGAAAAAGCTATTAAGAAAAGCAACAATACGAAACGAAAATACAACTACGAGTCAACTACCATCCAATAACTCGGAAGAAAGACCTGACGAGAGCGGAGTTTGGAACACGGTGACTTCAATCACCAAACAACGTGTTAAACTCAATATGAAACTGCTCGGTACATTTAGTCATAATAGTACTTCATCAAATATGAAAGAGGATAAACCAACTTATCGGGAACAGTTCGTCCCGCCAGAAATGTCAATGCTTTCGTATTTTCTCTTGAAACCCGCTAACTCAGGTACGTATGCACATCATTGTGAATTTCTATTAAAAGCTATTTAGAGTGAAGTTCTGGAATTGCTTGTCCATTTCCAAATATTTGAATTTATATTATCGTTGTTGTTTGAACTGTCAATGGTTATCGAAAAATTTGATTTATTTTGATAAGTTTGGTACACTTAACTTTTGCCTGAATCGAAAAGTGTACAAAAGGCCGAAATCTATAAAGAAAAATTAGACAATTCGTATAAATTCAATATAAGCTTTATTTACTAATTGAAGAGCAAGAGTTGCACCTAACTATCCAAATTATTGTTTTAAATAAAGAACTTGTTATAGATAACTTTTTATTCGTCTGAATTAATTTATGGAATGTGTATAAGAATGTGTTTCTTGTAACCACTGAAGCGATTTTCGGTTGAGCTTCTCCTCCAATCTATAATGTGCGTCTTGATGTTTGTCCAACCGCCTCCGAACGGCTGAAGGCTTTTTCCTTTATTTCACGTCAGATGTACACTCGGGGAATTGACATTCGCTGCCGATGGTCATAGGCAATTAGAAAAATGACTTAACATTTGATTTAAATTTCTTTTCTACGATTTCTGAAAGTTGGTCGGACCTGGGCTCGAACCATATTCTTCCGAATAGCAGTACGCAATGCTTACCACTCGGCTGTAGTAGTATACACTTTTTATTTTAGATGAAGACGACTATGATACTGATGAACCTATTGAAAGTGATAACGAAGATGAGGAGGGTGATGATTCTTCCAAATTAAACTATCAACAACCAAAGTGCAATACAGAACATTTGAATCCATCTTCATATTCTTGGAGTATTTTACGTTTAGCAATTATTCAGCTTGTTTCTTCCAAAATACAAGAGTTCGTAAACGTTGCTGGCATCGAAATACAAGGTAACTTATGTACGTATACATATGTTGAGTCTTATGTATACGTGTTATACGATATATTAATTTAACTAACAACAAACTCTCTTATTGTTTATCGTTTTAGATCTACCAGTATTGAGTCCTCTTTCTCATGAGCTTTTGCGAACACTTCGACGATGGCAAGATTTTGCCATAAATGTGCTTATAACCAAAGGACCGCCACCTGAAGACTTTATTCCAGGTATTCTATATATACATACAATATATTATTCGAAGTAATTTGTTAGTGAAATTTCTTATTTCAAAATATTTTATGAAAATCTAGCTATTCTCAAGCATTTAAAGAGAGTGAAATCATTTTAAATTATACTGCATTTTCTACTACTTTACATTTTAACCATACATTTCCAGGTTGCTTTGTTGAAAATAGCGGTCAAGGGCCAGCAATACATAGATATCGCTCCCTCTTAAATAAAGATAATACCCCGTTCCTCTTAAACTCTTCCACTGGACCTGTTCGAAGATTGTGGAATTACTTGGTAAGACAAGAGCAGGCGCAGGAAGTTTTTATAAAGGCAGTATTTGGAAAGAAGTTGGATTACCGAACTATGACACGAGATAATGTTGACTTTAAATTAGAATCCGGTAAGAAAAATAATGAAATTTTTGTTTAATATTATTAAAAATAAAACATCCGAGTTTTTTGAAGGTTTTTATATTAACACGATCCTAAGTTCTTCCCTTTTTTTTTTGCTATTTATTATAAATACGAAAAATTTAAGAATTTATTATTGATCCCAATGGTTACAGAACAAAACTTCATCAACTGATTTATGTTTTATCAAATCATAACTTAGTTCGAATATAAAGAGTTATCTATGCCTATTGCGCTGAAATGAGAGTTGCTGGCATAAGCTTCATAACTTTTGAAGTTAAATATCTATTCATAACCTGTAAAACAAAATATATATAAAATATATATTCATAATTGTTTTTGCGGCTAAATTAGCACACTTAATAGTTGTTGATTAATAAGGAATTGAATAATACAACAATAGATTACATGGTTGATGTTAGCGCAGTGGTAAAATATTCGCCTGTTATGTCAGGATCTGTTGGTTCTAATAAGGAGATGTTGTGATCTCCGAAACAACTGTCTCTTCTACCATTTTTCTTTGTTTCATAACAAAAATACTCAATTCATACGAACAAATCAGGCCTTTAACTCACTAAAACTTTCAACAAAAATTAATAGTGTGGACGCAAAAATAATTATGAATATACATATTTAAGTTGCTTGGTAACAGCGTTTTTGCTATACCGATTTTTACCGCACCGCGTCGATGAAGAAGCGGGCTCTCAGTAAATACCAACATGATGTTACCAGGCCACTGCAGTGTATTCCAAAAAGAACTCTTTCCACTCATGGAAGTCGAGGAATGGCTGATCAAATCTACGGTTACGGTTACTATCAGTTACTATATATTCCGATGGTCAAGCAGCTGAGCAGTTGATTTCTCGCTGAGCTAGCTTCAGCAAGAATTGGCAATATCAATGCATTTATAAGGCACACGAAATGGTTCGTACATTTGAGAAGGTGAAAAAAATCTTATACCATACGGCTTCACAATGGATTATTGACACAAGTGCGTTGGTCACTGATTAATAGACGTGCCAACTCAACTGAACAACGGCCCATTTGAAAAAAATAATTCTAATTTGAAAGTTTTAACTTTTTCAATTAGAAATACAATTTAAATGTAACCAAATAAGAAGCAAGTTTACATAGGCCTCGATAGTTTCCTACCAAAGATATGCTTGCATTTTAGTTTACAGGTATTACCATGAAAAATGTCCTGCGTGAGCAATGAATAGAGTAAGTTAATTAAAAATCGGACGATATTTCCGAGAAAAAAAATCATTCCACCATTTCATAATTGAGTTTGGTAAGAAATGCATACACGCGGACGCTGTGACTATAAATTAATGAGTTATTTTTTTGTTTTTTTTCTGGAAATTAAATCAGATTTTTGTATTATATTTATACGTTAATTTTCCACAAGAGTTAGTTATACCCATTTTAATATTGTACGTATTCGAATACTGATTATATTGACTACAGAATCATGCTTATAAATTCATAGATCGACGATTAGTTGTTGTCTGTATTCGTATTTCTGAAGATTATTCTTTATAAATGCGAAGTTTATTGGGCCAGACTTATTTTAAATTCGATTGATTCTTGCCCGGTTACTCTTACTTGATACGCATATTGTGGGTGTTTTAATATGTGCTGCGAAAGTGCCTTTATATAACCACATTTTCACTTTCTGTACTTTGTACAAAATTTGAGGATTAAGTAAAACTAAGTACTTTTATTTATTAAATGATTTTCATACTTGTAGGATCAGTGAATGAGAGTGATGAATCCGAGCATATTAGAGTAATTCATAAGGATCACGAAGCTTTGTTGTCATTTTGCTTAAACAACAATTCTTCTGGGATGATTGCGTTAGCAAGTCCACGTGAAATCCAAGAGCTTGACATTACAATGCTACTAGAATCACCAAATTGGTACGAAGACGAATGCGATTATGATGTCTTATCAAAGGAATCAGAACCTTTGTCTACCACTGGATTTTTGGTTATACAAACTCAGGAACAGTAAGTAAACATACCAGTTTATTATTTATTAAATATACAGGTTAAGGCTAGATTCAGGAATTGTTGTCAAACGATGAGATACTACGATTTCCAAAACTGTTTTACTTGATTTCACAATCTATATTTTTTGTCAAGTCAGTCATTTTCTCAGAAGCAAAGCGGCACACACATTTCGTAAACACAATATTTTTCACTCAACACCAAGAAATCTTAAATTCATGGATATTGCTTTCTGTATAGATTATTGAGATATTATTTATGTAAGAGGATATTGAAAAGAGAACTAAATTGATAAAAAAAACATTCGAAATATGTATGAAATTAATTAGAGATGTATGTGCATATACGAGAAATTTATTTAAAAAAGTATGAAAAAAATGTCTAAAACTTATTCATTTTCTACTGGATGAAAATTTATCCAAAAATACTATTTACAGATGATTTTCAAGTTATTTAGTTTTCCTATTTTCGGCATGCCAATGTGATTTTCTGACATGAAATAAAGCTCCTGATAAAAACCATCAGCCGTTCGGGTGCGGCTTATTATAAACAGTAGATCTCATCAAGACGCACGTCGATCGAAAATCGCTTCAGCGCCAACAATGTAATATGTTTTTTCTTTCTCTTTACGGAAAAATAATATAAGACTTTTCAAACGACAAGTGTTTTAAGGGTATTCCAGGTCAAAATTGTGAAATATACAAAACATTTAAAACTTTTCTTTTAACATAGCGGCTTAGCTTAATTCGGTTAAGAATACTGTACGGAATTATATTTTTTTTGTTGTTGTTATTGTAACGATTCATCACAAGCTCTGTTTATGGCTGTTCTAAAATTTCGATCAGAATCGGAATTGAATCCGACCGGAACTGCATAATCATGTTGTTGTAGCAACTTGCTCAACCCTACCACGAAGCCGGTTAACGCGAGGTCCAGAAAATATGTTGTTTCACGGTTTCAAACTAGAGGGTGTTCATTGAGTTGGTTTTAGTGGGAATGCAGAGAAGTTGTTATTGTGTGCGGCGTCTGTTGGGAATTTCCCTGTGAGTGACGTTTGTGGCCTCTCAGTACAAACATATAACCGAACCAAACAGATTTCTTAAAGTTAGCAAACGACACAAATTTTGTGGACAAATCGCTCGAGGTAATTACTTCCAAACGATCTGATTTGGTTCAGAACTGGTCATAACTCACGGGCCGTCACTAGGCGGAACAATAAATCCAACTCATGAATGTTATATTCTAAAGCGCTATGGACTGGCACACGGTGCAAGCAGTGCTTCGTTCTTGGAGCTGTTCAATAGCCCCACACGGGAGTTGAGCTGGATGTGTAGGAGGGTAGGGGTATAGGAGGAGATTGTGAGTCATGTTACGTGAGCTCCGTTGGACTATGGAAAAGCGCGTGTGGTGAGCCAAAGTGAAAGGAGTGGTCAAAGTACATCGTAAAGGCTTGGGGCGCATTTGAGCGCTTTAATAATGGGGCTACGTAACACCTGGTATTCTTCCGAAATACGAACGATGGAGCCCTCAATAGAAGGATATGAAGCAACGCTGATGCAAAATGGCAAGTTGATGCTCTGTTGAGTACTGAAATGGAATTATGTAGCCAAAAAGTGACAGCCCTAGAAAGTATAAAATACGGGTGAATCGGCTATTAGGAGAGAATCAGATTAATTGAATGCTTTTTATTTCGATTTATAGGATTTATAGGTTAGGTTAAAAAAAGATTCTAATTGTACTCACCCTCGGCGAGAAATATAAAGCCCTACTAAAGTATTTCTAACTGGCAAACTAATAGCCAAAAGCTTAACAAAACGGTCTTATATTAAGTAGCGGGACATTTGATTAGTAAACAGGCTTATGGATTTATATTAAAAGCACAAATACATGGGTTGGCATTCCCTACTACCAATTCCGCTGTTGCGCCGTACAGTATACATATAAATGAATTAATTTTTTATATCACTTTCTGTTGTTTCAGGTCTCAGCATAATTCAGCAATTAACTCAGACTCTTCAGTTAATTTCCAGTCCGCTTCGCAATCAGGACGGGGAACCTCGTTGGTAAGTGACTTTGGATAGATCCTTTCTTTTGAAGATTGTCTTCTGTAAAACCTTTTATATATAATTGGCGTAATTCATGTTACGCGCCTTAATGTTTTCATTTTGATGTTATACAGATTTTCAAAAAGCTTAATTGCATACTTCATTTATTGAGCATAACATTTTTTATTTAAAAAAAAAAAAACCAACTTATTCTTCCCAAACCTTCTTGCCATTTTCCTCAAAAATTTGAATTATCATCTACAATTGGCAAAATTCGGCTTTTCCAGATTTTGCGGCATAAAGTTGAAAATGTGAAACGAATGAGTTCTCATCCATTACTCCCACTTTATCTAACTGGTGGTCAAGATGGATCAGTCCAGATATGGGAATGGGGTCATCAACAAGCTGTTTGTTCACCAAGACCTTCTGGAACATTCGCTAAAGTGACACGATGTAGATTTTCTGAGCAAGGAAACAAATTCGGAATCGGTGACGGCGATGGAAACTTAAGTTTGTGGCAAGCAGGCATTGCCTCACAAAATAACAGACCATTTTTCGTGAGTGTTTTTCTTCACAAATTAGTCCTTGATATTTAATCAAACAGTCTTCGTTTTAATGCCACTCAAAATTTAATGGAAAATTAATGTTCTTTCTTGCAGACGCACCAGTGTCACAACAAATTGCTTTCGGACTTCGTGTTTTTGGGCTCATGCAGTTTATTAGCAACAGGTAATTTTTGCAAAGATTCAGGTCATTAGAAATTATTATATATTGTATTTTCTTCATTAATTACCTATGTAAGTTATGCGCTATGATAAAATAAAAATATATAAAAACTCGATTGTTGGGAATATTACATACACGGTGTGTCCCAAAAATAACCGAACTTTTTGGATATAAAATAAAATACACATTATATTATCTTTGAAAGTTATTATTTATTCAAAATAGGTTCCATTTGACTCAACACAACGTTTGGAACGATCAACCAGCGCATGCATAGATTTTTTTATGTCATTTATAGAAATGTTCTTCAGTACCTCGGTTACGGCTGCTTGAATGACTGGGATATCATCATAAAATGATCACTTTATATTGGTTTTCAGTTTTGGAAATAAAAAATAGTCACATGGTGATAGATCAGGCGAATACGGAGGATGGCCGATGAGAGAAATTCCTTTTTTCATTAAAAATTCGAGCGATTTTTTGGTCCTCATTACATTCATGCGGAAAAAATCGCGCACAGACCTTTTTTTTCCCCAAATCTTCAGTTAAAATTCTCCAAATAGTGTTTTTACTCGTATTCAATTCCTCAGCCAACATTCTCGTAGTAAAATTTGCATCGATACCAATGATTTCACGGACTTTTTCCACCAGTTCAGCACGTATACGTCCTGAACGTCCTGCTCTAGGGTCGTCAATAAAATCCTCACGACCATTTTTAAATCGTGTAAACCACGTGTAAACTTGCGTACAACTCATACAATCATCACAATAAGCTTTTTTCATTAGTTTTTTTTCAAGTTTGACACAAAATTTTATATTTGCTCTTTGTTCCATTTTATTTTTGAACTATTAGCACACTTTTGGTTTAATTTAAATGGCTGTCACTTTTACATCTGTCATCCAACTTACATGATGTTAGGTGCGTTTAAAAGAGGATGAATGTATCTTTTTAATGTTGCAAATTTTCAAAAGATGACGCTGTATGTTGTATGATTTAAATATAAAGTTCGGTTATTTTTGGGACACACTGTACATTTCATTTACGAGTGAGTATATAATTGCCTATTTGTAACCGCAAAAGCGACGTATCGCACATGAAAGTTTTATATATATATTAGTGGATATTTCTAGTGGTTCTTTTTGAATCTGCAGTGACTTCGGAAAATGTAATCAATATCTAGAAAAATTAAATTTAGTAATAAAATCAAATTTCCATTTATCCTTCAAAAATAATTATAAACAATTAAATTACTTTTACTTTTTATTTTTATATTTTCGTTCAAAAGTAATGAATATCTGATTTAAATTTATAAATAATAAATCGATTTTTTTTTTGTCAAAAGCGGCCTAAGAACGGGTCCCTGGGTATGGAAACTCAACCTCTCCGTATGCATTTCTGTAGCACCCTACATTTGCAGGAAAATTTTTGTGAAAGAAAATAAGCCCATTCTGTTCATTGTTTTATCACAACACTTATAGAGTATTTTGTAGAAAATTTTAAATAATCTCATATTTTAGACATTTGAAAAGTTTCCCAGCGCTTATAATGGCTTTGTCTTCTTCTTTCAGCTGGCCAAAGTTCTGAAAACAAAAATATAAACATTTGGGACACATTATTGCCTCAGAAAAAATCGTGCGTCTCTGGTAAGTACTGAATCTCATTACTTTAATACGTCGTGAATTGTGTCAGGAACGATGGGAATTATGATTACTCCTGCATTAGTAATGACAAACACGATGTTTTCTAAAATGCATCTAGAGCAAAACCAATCGTTTTGTCCTAATGTAAGACACATCCTCTTTTTAGTATTTAATTAAATATTTTTTTACACTTTTCAGCTTTTACGTGCCATGATCAAGGATCCTCATGTTTATGTTTTGCCCCACAGCATCAATTGTTGATATCCTGCGGAAAAAAAGGAGACATTTGTATATTCGACGTAAGGCAGAGGACCCTTAAACACCGTTTCCAGGTAAATATAACATAATCACCGATTTCTAGAAAACAAAACAAGTAGGGGTGAAGTCCAGATTAAACTAAGAACTGCATATTCGGTTTTTTTTATCTGTACGGACTTCTATTACGCTATTGTTTATCAGATTGTTTTATATTTATATAGTACATCAAAAAAAAAACAACATGGGTTTTGTAAAGGCATATCAAGAAGCAGGCCCTATTGTTCGACAATAGTAATTTCCACCTTAAATATTTTTAATGAGTATTAAGTAGCTATTTGATGAAATAATAGCTTACGTCAATATTTCCAGTTCCAGTTATCATATAAAAGATATTAGAAAAGCATTATAAATCCAATAGTATACACGAATATGAATAAAACACTATTAAGTAGAGAGGTATATCTAGCAAGTGATTTTTCGAAACCATCTAACAGCCTTTGTATTTGACAAGGTTACAGGAATTTCTTTGATTTAATGATTGGGTTGGTATCTTGAAAATGTTAGAAAATGTCACTAAATTATTATAATACGCAAAATTTTGGGGGTAAATTAAACAAATTCATAATTTCTCGGCATTAACGCTGGCACAAAGAGGCAAGCTAAAATATATTATAATATTATATTATAATTATAATATCAATGATAATTTAAATAATCATTCATTAAAAATCCAGAGTGAAGTAGGATCAAATAAATTGGCAAAGACCTGCTGGGAATTATTTTTAGAATATGTTGGCGATACAAATTATAGGTGTGAAATGATCAAATACTTGTTTCGCTTAAACTTCAACGAGTAAACATGTACCACACACATTTTATGTCAATCTGGAAAAAGATGTTGTAGAAGATGTACGCACTTAAATATATGACGTGTTGCTTGCTCTATCGAGAACATGGATTTAAAAGCATGTAACCCATACCATAAAATCTGAATAGTATATTCAACTGGTGTCGTAATGGATTTAAAATATAATTGTATGTGATTAATTATAATAACAAACCTTTTACAAGCAAAAATCTAAATTAATATATATAAAAAATAAAAAAAATATAACTTTCATAACAAATAATTAATACAAATGTTATTATGTGAATATTTCAATTTATTATAAAAATCCGTTCTTTAGTTTTGTTATACAGAAGCAGTAAGAAGTAAAGAAAATAGAAAAATGCCAAATTTTATTCAATTTAGTTTTTATTTATTCCTTAGCCATTTTTAGTTACATTTTATTAAAGAGCAAACTACAAACCTCTTTTTTGTTAGGCCTAAATATAACAGTTTCTAAACAGTAATTCTCAATAAATAAGCTAAGATAATAAGCCTTACATTTTTCTTTTATATTCATAAAACAGAGTAAAAAATAAATTATTTAAAAATTCTTGACAACATAATTTAGTACTAATAGGAAAATTGTATTAAATGAGAGTTTTGATATCTCTTTTCCATGCTGTGCAAATCTTATCGCAATCTCTTTGCGACACCAGCGGCATTTCTTCTGTGAAGCTTACTTCAAGCTTGTAGTTAGCTTTTCAACTGGATAAAAATATTTAATTATGCTTTTGGAAAGTGGACCAGAAGCTATGGAATATTTGTATTTATGACTCGGTTATATTCTTATTTTTATTCGCACCTTATTCTCCAATATTGTGGAGGAGGTTTGACGCTCACGTATATATGGAACCCAAAGTGCACGTAAAATTATATTACTAGCTTTCTTTGAGATCTGTAATGAAAATAACTTAGCAGACATTTATATTGCATTTCTCTAAATATGTAAGTTATATATACCATTAACGAACATACTCAATGCTTCACTAAAGTAAAATTTGGAAAGAGTCATACATTTTACCTCTACATAAATCTGGTAGTTCTGGGACGAGTTCCAAAACGTCAAAATACTTTGCAACCGCATCATAACAATACAACCCTGCATCCTATTAATTTTACTGTTGCATTTTGGAAAATGATATATAGTCAAAGTTTGCACAGTTGCATTTAGGAATGCGTGACAATGCTTTGCAATTGATGTTTTGGAACTCACCCTAGATCTTCAATAGCGAATTACAGTATTCCCTGCAAAGTTATGTTCCATTCCCAAAATTTTGCAGCTATTATGACAGAACAATTAGCAGATTCTGTGTCATCAAGTATTGGCATCTCACAACATGGATTTTGTAAAGGCAAATCCGCCCTACCGAACCTGCTGGAATTCACCAACCATGTCAATAATGGTTTCAAAAATGGTTATCAAACAGCTGTTATCTACACTGACTTCAGCAAAGCATTTGACAAGGTCTCTCATCCATCACTTCACTTTAAACTCGATCATTTCGGGTTTCCACCTCCTCTTCTCAAGTGGATTTCATCGTACTTGATTGGTAGAAAACCAAAAGTAATTTTTAAGAATTGTGCATCACGTGAAATAGCAGTAACATCTGGTGTTCCTCAAGGCAGTCGCCTCGGCCCCTTACTCTTCTTTATTCTATTGAAGGTAAAGGACTTTTGAAATTTGACCTAAATAATTTATTTAGGAGCTGCGATTCGAACTGTGTGTCCCTAAATTTAAATAGGTGCAAATATATGTGTTTCTCGAAAAAATCGTTCCAATCCTTTGCCTATATGATACATAATCACAGTGTTGAACAAGTAACAGACTTCATTGATTTAGGTGTCGCAATGGACCCTATGCTAGATTTTTGAGATCATATTAATGCTTGTGCTGATAAGGCATTAAGAAGAACGGCTCGGAGAGGTCCTTCCTGATCCTGATGGATCTTTTAGTGTTGCTAGTGTCAGTTTACATAGCCGCATAAGTTTTGCGGACTTAGTGGCGTAGAGTTCGTGCTGTCGAAGGCTGCTTTGAAATACGCTGGAAAGTTCCTTATATTCGATATTAAGGAGACTTATCCCACACAGACTGTCATGAAATAACACGTAGTAATATTCCACAACTCCAATTTTAAGCAACATTACTTGTGATCCAGAGCAACAGTGCTAGCCACCCAAGTTCAAGTCCCAAGCCAAACAAAAAAAAACAAAGTCTATTGCTGCTATTTTTATTTCAATAAATTTAAAATACATTTCAATATAATTTCTCCATTTTAAAGTAACAAAGAATTATAGAAAAATAACTCTGAAAAAATGTCAAAATGTCTGCATAGGAGTAGTGGACTTTAGAGAAGTAATAGAAAATTGCTCGAAGTGGATACTTACTAGAACAAGGTGCTAAGCTGACTCTGATACACATAATGTCCGAGAGCACTCTATTGTACTCTACTGGACTCTAACTTACGACGATGATCATGACACATTGCGTTAAATATTAACAAGTCCTAACGTCAATCCTTCGAGTTAACAGGGATATCTATGGTCCAAACACCTGAAATTCAATTTATGATTTTGCTGCAGCATGTTTTTATACACGATCGTTATATTAAAACTTTCTTCATATATATATACACCTTTTTGTACCCCCAACGGGTAAGAAATATTTTTGTATATGTATATGGACTGTAAAACTTTTTCGTACAATAACTGTTTGAATATATGCTGAGAGGGAAGACATAATAACATTATCGTTTTTAGCCTAAGTCGAAGGTTGCAGCTTCTCATTTAAAAAATTAATTTTTAATACTAATTTAATTTTTTAACGTCTTTCTTCCAGGCACACGATGCTACTATAAAGTGCATTGCCCTTGATCCTCATGAAGAGTTCTTCGCTACAGGATCCGCAGAAGGAGATATTAAGGTTTGTTTAATATTTGTATGTTGATTCAGCACAAAAAGTAATCATTATATATAAGAAATACGTAAGATTGCAAGGAAACCAAAATTTATAATAGAGCAAAAACCAGCTGCAGCCATGCATACGGTAATTTTATGAAACCAGAAAATTTCTCTGCGCAGGCTATCAACATAGTTAAGTACTATGAGGTGAATAATAACTTTAGGGTAGTGGTTACACTGGCTGATAACACTTGCTAGACATCGTAAAACTCTATTGCAAGTTAAATAATCATATAAATATTTTTTGTTTAGACATGAAAATTATGTATATTAGATATTTTATTTACATGTTAAAGTTATCGAAAGAAGATATGAAGAACCTAACTTAAATGTATTTGATGTGCTACTTTTTGCATTTTTATTACCTGTTATCTGCTATGTAATTTTAACCCTTACCCAATTTTTTTATTCCCATCATCGTATTTACCTACGTTGACGACGTACGCAGCCAAATTTTCAGGTTTTATAAAATGCTTAAATGGGTTCTTAGACTAAAAATATATGTTTGATCTTAATGATATATACATATTTACATAGTAGATGGAATTTTCCATGTGTAATAACCAGGTGAAGCACATTAGTAGTTGTCGCTTTACGGCACACGGCCTTCGTAAATAATACCGCTTTTATAAATTATTATTAAAAAAAATCTTAGAAAAAGTGTAAATTTGCAGCGCTAATCTGGCTGCGAAATCTGACCGTCTTTCGAAAATAATCGCAAGAATTTCCTTAAGTTCATTTAAAAGACTCGCCATTCAGACGCTCAAAGAAAAATAAATATTTCGACAGCTTATATCTAATGACATCAAATGCATAAGAATGAAAAGCACAAAAAATATATATATTAGGCAAGTAAAAGTTTCGTTCAGTTTTTTATTGATTTTTTAAAATATAATATGATAACTTTGTGCACATTTGTCCGATTTAAGTCAAATATGCGCCGTTTTGTTCCTAAACTTGTTGACAACGAGGTGCCAACATCATTTTACCTCTCTCGCAGAAGGCTGCGGTCCTATTGACAACATCTCGAAGAGCCAATTTTTGCAGGCCTCTCTTGAGGCCAACTTCCCACCATTAAGCGCGTTCGCCATGGACAGGAAAGATGGTGATCACTTGGTACCAGGCTTGGACTATAAGGTGGATGCATTAGGACCTCTCATCCAAGCTCCTGGAGCTTCTGGCGCGTCACCAAAGGCGTGTGTGGCCTGGCGTTGTCCTGATTGAATACAATTCGGCCTCTGTTGATCAAAGATGGCCTCTTCTGGATGATTGCTGCCTTCAAGCGGTCCATTTGTCGGCAGTAAAGGGCAGAATTGAGCGTTTGGCGATAGGTGAGCAGCTCGTAGCAGATGATTCCTTGTGAATCCCACTAAACACACTGCAAAACCCTCCTGGCCATCAATCCGGTCTTGGCCACCGTCTGGGCCGCTTCTTCGAGCTTTGACCACGATCGTTTGGGCTCGATGTTGTTGGAAGTGATCCCTTTTTCATTGCCAGTCACAATCCGCTTCAGAAACGGGTCGATTTTGTTGCTATTCAGCAGCGATTCGCAGATGGAAATTCGGTCAATCCTGTTTTTTTGCGTTAGTTCATGTGGCACCCAAATATCGAGCTTCTTTTTGAACTTTAGGCTATGCAAATGGTTCCAAACGGTTTTCTGGTTTATCTTTAGTTCCTCAGCAATTGAATATGTGCTCACGTGACGGTCTGTTTCCACTATTTCCATGATTTTATCGCAATTTTCGACGATAGGTCTCCCGACGTGTAGTGCATCTTTGAATCGAAATTACCGGAACGAAATGTAGCAAACCACTTTTGTGCTACACGTTCATTTACATTATCGGGCTCATAAACTAAATTAATTTTTTGGCTACTTTTCCGCCTTGATCGAAGAAAAATTGTAAAATATAGCGAATTTCTCTTTGCTGGTGTCCATCTTTGACGAGCGCTCACAACGTACTGAGTCAATCAATCGAAAAACTGTCAAAGACAAACTTTTAGCTCGAATAAACACGTTCTCAGCGCCGTATAGTATGACATGATGCGACACGTAATACTAGTACTATGGACAATAACGCCATCTCTTAGATAAAAGCCGAACGAACTTCTTACTACACCTAATATTTTTTTAATTATCCTAAAATACAACAATTTCTTCATAAATAGTACATATTTTAGAACAAAACTAAATTAAGAAAAAAGTACAGTGCGTACCAGAGCTGCTATGCGTGCCAATGGTTTTATTTCTACATATATAACATAATTCACAGTACGACAATGGTTGGTACAGAGAATATGAAAAGAGGCTTAAAATATAAAATACGTGTCTCGGCAGAGCCGATTTTAAAAAGAGCAGCAAGACGGTGCTTTAAATTTCATGTAAAATTAAAAATTAGCTAAAAATGTACGAAATTCATTTTATATAAAAAAATGAAAATACTAAAATTAATATGAAGTCATAACTATTTACATTGTGTTAAAAATGTTGATTGTTTATTTTATCTTGAGTATATTTCATTTTGTCGTACTGTGTTATAAATCAGCCTCTATTATATCCCGAGATAAAAAGTTATCAGGAACTAAATCCCAGAATTTCATCTCTCTGTTTATATGTAATTCTGAAAGAGTTAATTTGCCTTTCTGCAATGTGTAGACCCATTGAAAATGGATTTGGTTATAATATTTTTCTTTAAAGTAGCGTGTATGTCAATTTTGATGAACTTAGTGTTAGAGACCCGCAACATTTTAATTTTCAGTTGAAGCTTTTTTTCATGTATATAGTCTATATTCAATAGATTATTAAAATATATACATATTTTTATAGTTATTTTATTTACAAAATCCTCCTAGAATTTTACAAATATCAGCTATTAGCTTTCGATGTTAATAATACAAAAACCGATTACGAAACAAAAGTGTTGCATTCCGCAAAAATGATTATGTATGTATTTGTTCTCATACAAGACTGCATCGTAACGATAAAATTCACTTTAATCGGAAAACTTCTATCGTTTCGGTTGTAACATTTGGAAATATTAACGTTAAAGCGGTTATTTTCATAAATTTCTTTTCTTTTTTACCTATTTCAATGTTAACGATTTCATTTCGTTGAGTTAATTTCACTTGTTAGCGAAACGGAATGTTATCGGCGCGTTTGTTGAGCATCTCTCATCTCTTGCGATCGCAACACATTGTTAATTTCCTACATTTTGCAAAAAAAAAAAAAAAAAAATAATAAAAATCGCTCAAAAATTTGTTTGATATTTGGGGATCAATTACTCCCCAAATACTCTGCACATTTTTTTTTTATTATACAGAGTTCATTTATTTACTGGATCTGCTATAATATAAGCCTAACAGTAAGTGTACAAATCTTAAAACTAAATTACAAACATGATAGCTCGAGTTATTTAACTCTGAGCCCGTTTCAAACTACGGCGCTCTCCTTAGAAGGTGGGAACATCTCTTCGCTGCAGGCGAATAAAGAAAACATACGCTGGACGATTCTTCTCTAAAATATTCGTAGAAATATATTTTTAAGTTTGAAATAGTTTTTTCGACTTAAAACTATTTAGAACATACAAAGTTATTAATATTTATTTTAAATCCTTTGGCTACTTGACAAAATTGAATCAACTTCGTCATTTATTAGCACTCTATTTTGGATTGCTTACATTAGTCGCTATTAAGCAAGTTGTCTCTCGAGACAACAAATTGATTGACGTTGACAGTTGATTACTTGATATATTGATTCAAATCTATTTCCTGCCAACAATTGTCAAATTCTCACTTTGAAATCTAAAATTTCATTTGTTAGAACATTTGCTGAAGGTAACATCATTTATATTTTTAGATTAAAAGAAGTTGAACTGATTAAATGAAAAAAAACCTCTCTCCTTTTCAGCCAGATTTTTTTGCTAGCTTTTGAATTGTTTAAGAGCTTTAACGCAGTTGGCGCCATTTTACATATGAATATGCTTAGAAATCACATAAAACGGCTTAGCAATATCACTATAAAATTTTAAAGGTTTCATTTGTAGTTTCTTTGAATTAATCAAAATTTCAAATGAAGCGTCCTGAATGCTTTTTTGTCGAACAAATGTATTTTAATTTTCAAAATATTTTCTATTACGTAAGTTTTATTTAATTTTAGAACAAAAATTTCTTTAGTTAGCAACTTTATCATTTGATGCTATTTAAAACGAATGACATGAGTAAATATTGCTTACTAAATAATATCGAAAGCGTTAGGTTAGGTTAGACTATGAATTTATTAATTTAATAAATAAGTTTATGAATTGAAAACTGGAAGTTTTAGTATTAATATGTTAAATAATATGTAATATATTATATGTAAGAAGAATGCATAATATTATTAAAAAAAAATATTGTAATAACAAAAAATCACTTTATGGAAGCATCTCGCCCACGGTGAATATGGCGAAGTTCCCTCGGTGACGGCAAAGGCTGCCGTGACCTTGTATTCTATAAACCTTGTGGTTTTCAAATGATTACTTTCACTAAAATATAACGTAAATATGTGCGATTAAGTTTGTGAAAATATTCCTTTTTTACAACATTCATGAATTCTCTACTGCGGAACTCAACTCGGCCAAAGAATTCTGATTTTAATATCGGCGCATCAACTTAACAAACAATATGTAATTGTTATTTTTTATAAGTTTTTTTAAAATTTAGAAATCACAGATGTTCATTTCTTCTATTGTTTTTGACTTGAAGATTTTACTGTATATTTGATATAATTTAAACATTTTGACAAACTACTCAATTATTTATTCATTATCTTCTTTCAGATATGGAACTTAAATCAGTATTCGTTACTTAGCACATACCCAGCTGAACATGCTAAAAACAGTTTCTTCAAACATATTGGTCAAGGTGTTGGTCAACTACATATAGATAATTTCGGTCGACTATTCTCTTGTGGCTCTGATGGTTGCATGAAAGTCCGGCAGCTAGTGGAAAAGGAATCCGTTGTTCACTCTTTATATTAAAATATGTTACGAAATATAGTGTCAGTTTACTAATCTGAATGAATTGCAATTATTAAAAACAAAAATTTTAAAATTACACATTTATATACAACTAATATGAGTCGAAAACTCGTTCTATTCTAAAAACAAATTCGATTCGATTGTCAATTCGTAATTCGAAGATATTAGAGATTTGTTAGAAACTCCAAGAACGAGCTAGTGCTGCTCGAAATGACCTTTCAAAGGCTATCACTCGAGAACGAACAAAATTTTCTGTCGAATCGCAATAGAATATAAGGGCAGCGGATAAGATTAAAGCTTTGTTATGGGTAGTTTGTATAATGACGATATGATTTTTCTAACCTTCTCTTTGCTCATTTGAAGTTAAAAAAAATGTAGATTAAATGAAATCGATATACTGAAATTTGCAGGCAAAGATTTGAAACTCCCAATATTCAAAAGTCCTAGATATGAACAACACGAAAAAAGTATAGTAAATTAATGAAAATATGCATTTTTTGTGAATAATGGACTGGTGACACTATTGAGTATTAAAAATATTATTACCGAAATACTTTTTACTACTTTTCATCTCTATGTCATTTCGCTTCATTGCTTACTTCTCTGGATTGGCAGTAAGCAGAACAAACGAAAGTGTTATTTTATGTATAAAAAACGATGACCGTTAATAATTTGATCCGACTTTTGAACGCAAGCAGCATATTAATATTGCCTAAAACATTTATTATCAATATAGCGTTAATGGTTATCAGAACGTTAAAGAATTAATTCGGATTAATAAACTGACCACCATATGTTTTTAATGGATATACTTATTATGCAATGCGAAGTATTCATTATATATATATATATATATGTTATATGTATCTTGTAGTTTGAAAAATAAAGTAAATGTTATTCACCCAAAAATATTATTTTATTTAAATTGTGACATTATTTTTTCATTCTACAGCAATTGAAATGCTTTCGAAAGAGTTATGGCCTTTCCTTTTTAGAATAATAAAAAAAACATAGCATATAATGAACCAGACAAATGGGAGAGGTATTACGATGGTATGTAGAGGCTTACAAGTATAGAAAGCGCCATTTTATTTGTTTACATTGAAAAACAGCTGAGATCACCAGATTTCTAAATCATTTTCATTGTTTACTTTTCTTCGACATTTCGTATTTAAATTTCCCTCAATCCATTATGATTCGCCATCAGATGCTTTACCCTCCTTTTTGGTACGACATTTTCTTATTCATTGATTCTTTCATTGTCTGCGTATTGGTTCTGCAAATCTCTCATTCCAACGTTAGCCGCATCAGCTAGACGAAATAATTTGTCAAAATATTTTTTTAATATTCTTAATTCGTTTTAGTTTTCTGGTTGTCCAACTGATTTGTTTGATTAGTTTAAGTTTCTTTTTGATTTTGTGATTGCGAATGGTGAATTACACACGTTCGCTTTTGTAAAACGGTTTTTAAGGCTCATTCACTCTAATTTTCTTCGGTATTTTTTCCTTTTACCACAATACGAACTGAATGGCAGTCACTCCGATTATTAGTTATGAAGGTCCAGCTCCGAACGGCTGAGGATTTTATTTCAGACCAGACAATCCTTCCCTGCCTAAGAGCGACCGTGCTTTTGATCCATCCAAAAGAAGTTGATGGCGTCCTTAGGAAATCAGGTAAAACACCATGCCAGATATTCTATATGCTTACTCTTTCCAACATTTCGGCCGGCTTCAATGTGGTCCTCCAATGCGTCAATCGAAGCGGGTTTGTCTGTATATACATTAGATTTAAGATAGTCCCACAAAAAATAGCCTAAAGGCGTTAAATCGCACGATCTAGGCGGTCAATTGACCGGTCCGATTGAACATGAAATAAAATGTCCACCGAACTCTCCTCTCAATAAGTCCATTGTTACGCCTGCTTGGTTCATGGAACCTTCTAGTTGAAACCAGATGTCATGAAAGTCAAGCTCATGCATTTTGGGCGAAAAAAGTTTGATATCATCTCACGGTAGCGCTCACCATTCACAGTTACCTTACGATTCGCATCATCTTTGAAGAAGTACGGTCCAATGAAGCCACCAGCTCATAAACCGTAACAAACTGACTTTTTCTGGATGCATTGGTAGCTCTTGCATTGCTTCTGGTTGATCTTCACCCATTAAGCCAAAAATGCGATTCGAAGCGCGAACGGAAGAAGCGCCTGATGAACTTTCTTAAAAGAGCACGAATTTTGATAACAAAATTTAATAATTTGCAAGGGTTGTTCGTTTGTAAAGCAAATCATGGTTAAATTATAGATCAAACTGAAGATGTTTAAACCAGCTGTGTTGCCAAAAAGATAAAAGCTAAAAAATTACCCTTTATATAAATTTTTTTTAATGAAATTTATTTATTGGATCTGTTTATTTAAATCATTACCATAAGCTTTAAAATCTTAATAACTAGTGAAATACATTGATAGTATTGAACTGCTGGGCAGGATAAAACGTTTGCTAGGTATTTCTTATGATTTTGCAGGTTCGACAGCTAATTTTTCAAGATTGTGACTTTTATATTAGTTCTTCCTCATTGGGGCAGGTTCTGCTTACGAAATTATAGCCGAATCAGTAATAGCAGTAATAGCGCTCCATTCGTTCCTCCTCTTCGCTATTTAGCGCGAATTAGAAATAGCAAATGAAACCAGGACCATAAATCGTTCGCAAAACTCTTCTATCGAAGACTCTCAAGACCGACTCATCGGATGTCACTTTCGTGTTTACCATTGGATTTCGTTGCATGGGTCATGATAACGCTTTTGCTCGTTAACTTTATGCCGAAGTTTGACAGCCGACTTCCAACGATGTTTAACTGGTTTTGTGGTGTATTTGAGGCATTTATTGCACACTTGCTTCTTTATAAAATAGCGGTATTGTATGCGAATGTCCTTGGAATGTCTGCAATAAGAAGTAAGTCTTAAGCTATGGTCCCAAAACTCTAGCCATAATGCGATATCCCTTTAAGATAAGTTCCCTTACTTGGATTGTAAATCGCCTTTTGGTAAGGAATGATATGAATATCTGATGGAAGTTTTCGTGCAAAACTATTTTAATTTTGTTAATGAGTCCTTCATGCCATACTTTATCAAATACTTGAGCCACAAAAAGAAATATTGCTGAGCGATACTCTTTCAACTAAAATGTCTTCCTGATCTCATCGATGGACTCTTCTATAGTGCCATGTTTTTTTCTGAAACCGAATTGAGGAGATATTGATATTGGATATGATCACTTTTTCAAAAAGTTTGGAAAGAACAAACAACAGGCTACCTATAAACTGAGACTTTTCCCATGCCTTTTTTCAAAGTATTCAAGTTTAAAGATGGCGTTAAAGAGTTTAATTAAGAACTTTAAAGCAAATGTTGGGATGAAGAGATCGATTATTCTGCCATTCTCCGCGCAGACAACATTTTCTGATTACAAGACGCTCAAATGGACTTGATTCATATTACACTTCGGAAACTCTATGTGACTTTTTATGTTGCTACATAAGGCGCAGTTTAGAGTAATCAGCTGAACAATTTAATATTATTCTCTACATCCACTTCACACTCTACTGGTATTGGCATTTGCATGTCAGGGGGAATGATTTCTCAACTCTCATTGGTTGTTGGCCAATACGTAGGTTGCGTAGAAATTATATCAAGATGATTTTTATCTATGTATGTACATGTAACTGTATAATATATTATAATTGTCGTAAGTATGTTTGGCATTCCAATAGCTATCTGCAATAAATCTCTTACATAGAGTACTAAAAAAATCAATAAATTGCTTGTTTGTTAGACAAAAGAGTGATGGACGACAGATGACAGATTTTTGAGGCGGACTGACGTTCCTTGCATATAAAGTTTTTTAATTGCATCAAGATACAAAATGTTGCAAGCCTTCTTCTATAGATTATTGGTATTTTACAATTTTGAACTGTAAACTAATTTCAAATTGGTGAAAATTTAAATCGATTTCATATCTTTCCATTTGTTATTTAATTCAGGCTCCTATTTATTTATTTTAGATATTTGGTTTACTTACCGTTCACTTAGATCATCAAGTATATCTCTCTAGATATTTTAAGCACTTACGCAAGAAATATTTAAATTATCAAAGTTTTGTTCACTTAAGTCTAAGACTTATTCTAGTTTATAGACATACACCCTAAAAGATGGTTTTCGAACATTTTATCCATCAAATTTCTGGAGTGGCTGGCACTATATCGCTTCAGCTCGTATGTGAACCCATCAACCCGTGCAAGGGTTCGCTTCAGATGCTACTTCATATTTCAGTTACACCTCTAAACACTGGATATAAAAAAGTTTTATCTCCACTACTGAATTTTCATTGAAATGCATCAGATATTTGAAGATAGTTTTCTAGATTTCTCTTGTGATTTGATCTCAACACGATCGCAAAATCGTAAGAGAGTCTCAGCCATAGAGAATAAAAATAATACAGAAAAATGATCATTATAACTAATATTTTGCTGGTCACCTCTTCTTACCTTGCTGACTAAAAACAAGCTGTGTTTTTTTTATCTAAATTCATATATTTCAGAAGAATTTTCAGGTATATGTTCCAATTCAATAGATTGATATAATTCCGATGAGCGGTGGTAATAATATCCTTCAATTTTTCCGGTTGATTTAATAAAGCAAATATAATAAAATCCTGCAAATGATGCCCCATTTATGTCTTTTATTGTATGATCAGGCACAAGAAAGTGTTCTTTCCATCGCATAAATACATAATCACTATTTGCTAAGCTTTGAAAATCAAAATTATCCGAATTAAAAGTTCCTTCATATTCAGAAAACGCTGCGAATTTACTCTGTAAAGAAAAATATTTAAATGTAAAATAGTTAAATTGTAAAAAAATATCTACAAACATATCTATCACAATGATATACATATACATACACGTATATGTTGTTATATAATAATTATAATAATAATAATAATAATAATAATAATAATAATAATAATAATAATATTAGTATTGGGAGCTTAGCCGTTGTGGAGAAAATTATTTCAGTCATTAGCGAAATTAGAAAAACGTCTTTACAGGATTCTGATCATTTGAGCCAACACATGCCAAGAATGGCGTACGTTTAAATACATTTTTCAAAGTTTGGGTGTCACCACTGAAGAAAATATCAAAAATTGTACTATAACGTATTCTAGGAATTTTTTTTTTGCTCCTTTGTCCTTCGCCAACTGCCAAAGTAGGCATTGAAGGCAATGTAATTTTGCCTCTCTCAAAGAAGCCCTTATCCTACAGGCTCTCTTGAGATCAAATGTTTCAACATAGACAGTGATAGATGCTAATCTCTGGTGGATTCATAAGAACCACGCAACCAAGCACTCGGAGCTCCTGCCGAATCACTATCGATATGTTTGGTCTGGCGTTATCCTAATGAAACACAATTCCTCTGCTCTTGGCTAAAACTGGGAGCTTCTGGGCGTCTGCTTCCTTCTGACGGTCGAGTTAAGAATTTAGCCAAAGGGGAGCAGCTGATAGTGTTTGTTTGAAACTAACTTAATTTGACTGAGGCACAAATACTACAAGAACTCATTTTTACATGATTCACATGATTTCTATTGTATGACACAGTTTTTTTTGAATTACTTTGTTCGCCCTCTCAATTACGGTAAAAAGGTAAGCAGAGGCCGTTCAATATATTGAAAAAGAGTAACAAACATCAAGAAAGCATTAAATATTAGTTAAAACAAGTATTTAATATCTTACAAGAATTCATTTGTTATGTCTACCATGTGCCCGCCGTGACTGAGGTAAATGCTGATAGACTCCAGCTAATGTAAAATTTAATCGCACAGATTTTACAAATTTTTATGCGAGCGACTTACCTCGTGCAAAAGTGTGCTCTTGGAGAAATTTCGGAGAGCTAATTTTATTTTAGCAAAAATGCTCATCTGAAGCAACATAATGGATGGCAACTATAATAACCAGAGAACGTAGAATATAGAGAAGGTGCAAGTACGGATCAGAATGGAAATTGTCAAAATGCACAATTACTTCCTTTCACCTAATCGTACCACACTCCCCACATGATTCGCAGAACTTGCTATTAATTAACAGAATGTAAATTGATAACATTGATGAAAAATACTGAAAATATCGCAAATTTTGCCGACGGCAAATATCATCACCATCGTTTTCAGAAGGCCAATATCTACATCGTCCTTATAATTCATGTTTGAATTCCTATCAGAACGGAAATTATTCACATAAAACCTACCAAAATTTTATTGGAGACGTGGAAAAAGCTGAACTTTCAAATTGCTATCCTGAAAACTTTGAAAAAGAGACTTTCGCATGCAATTACATTACTTTTCTCTGTTTTCACAATAAACAAGCTAATTTCCAAAACAAATCAATGCTTTTGATTTTAAACATATATGCATACATATGAATTTTATTATTATTTGTAGCAAATGTAGAAACTTTTACATTAACCATGCAAACATTTGCTTGAACAAGGGATGTATATGTATGCATCTACGTGCCTCTGTTATCCACATGCAGAAACTCACATATTTCCATACATACATATGTATATAGTAAAATATTTGAAAAAGTTTTCATTCATAAACGCATGTGCCATAGAATAAAGCAAAATGATTTCATTCATTAAGACCGTCGAACACATAACCCCGCTTACCCGTCTCAACACTTGCTTCATCGTGACGGTCGTAAACTAAAACACGAAAGGAAGACTAAATTCGAGTGGAACCGAACAATAGATACTCGGATGATATTTATATGTCACGTTGTTTGCAACATTTAGATTCTTTTCGAGCTATCAAGTATAGAGACGGAGGGACAGACATTCCTAAATCGATTGATCTCATCATTCCATGATTTTTTTTTACATAGGGTCTATATCTACCTCGATTATTTTCGAACTGTTACCAGAACAAAGCTAATACTCTGTGCACATAATATAGTCGGGTATAAGAAGTCCGGTGACAATTCAGCGGGCTGGACGTTCTCTGCTAGCATTGCTTAAAATTTTTGCAGAGTTGAACAAAATTGCCCAAGCAAATCGGTATCATTCTACTAAATTTGCTGTTCGCCTATTAGCTTATAATGCCCAGCAAAAATTGCATTGAATTTTGACGAGGATTACAAAATCCTACAATTTTAAAATTTAAGAATGTTTGAAGTTTTGTTCATGAAGGAAAAGAAGAAGAAGAAGCTAAAAACAACAAAATCAATAACGCTTGCAAACCCCCTTTCCTTCGACTCTTCATCCAGAAACAGTTTCCTGAAGACGAAGTCAAATTTTGCCAAAGATATAATATTTTAGTTGAGCAAAAATCGGAAACCCATACATTAAAGCTCCATATATGTATACTAAATACAAATACACACAAAGCCTTGTGCGATCCCTTTCCCTTCGTTCCCTCCACATTCAAGTTGCTTCAGAAATTCAAGTTAAGCTGAAGTCAAATATTCGTACATATGAGTTTATGTACATATATGCATGTGTGCATGCGTACTTACTACATATGTACATATGTGTGTACGTATGCTCATACGCTAACATGACTATATGAATTAATTTTTACTTGTTTCGATATTTACCTCCCAAAATAAAAAATATTTAATAAATATTTCATTTTATTATGCCTCATTTAATACTAATAGATACAATTAGAAGTTTATAAGAGTTACATATGTACATACATAATAAGCTTGTGAGTATACATATGTACATATGTATAAGCAAAAGGTCATCTAAAAGAAATTAAAAAATATCATTTGCTATTAAGAAATTTATGGTAAGTATTTATTAAAAATTGTTAAAATCTTATCAGTAATTTATTGATGATTTCAAATTTGAATTCAATTTGGTCATTTACATGTGATAAAAGTAAATAAAAGCGGTTGTTAATTTACATTTGCATAGATTTTCGTTCGCTGGTGTGTTTGAATATTCTGTTAATTTTTCATATCGAGGTGGAACAGAAATTCAAGACGAGAAGGAAATGACGATTACAACAAACGAAATTTTTCTGCCAGAAATGTCAGAAACGCTGGCTTTGCACCTTCTCTATATTCTACGTTCTCTGTAGTAACTATTCCATTTCCATTAACTGGCCTATTCTGTCGAGATAATAAAATTTACTTCGGTATTAAAATGTACAATTCAGTAAATTTTGTTACTATTTCGTATTCTGAGTTCACTGTCACCCTGTAAATTTTGTTACCAATGAAATAGGAGGTAACAAAAAAATCTATGTTTGATTTTGCGTTGTTAGTTTGAGAAAATTTGAGAAAAAAATTGAGAAAATTAAAAACCAAGATGAGTAATTTATTGAAAGTGACGAAAAAGGTGTAAAAGTGTAAAGTTGCGAGAAAAAAATTACCCTCAGATAGCGTTTTTTGCTCAGCTTTTTTTTTGTCGTTTAGGCATATTTTCCAAAATAAGGTTCAAATATTTATTATTTAATAAGCAAATAAATAACATTTATTTATTTTGTCGTGCACCGTCTTCAATTTCGATGTGAATGTTTTTCTTTTTTACTTTACCAAAGGGAAAATGTAATTTGACTAGAACGAAAAAAGCAGTGCTGCCAAAGCTCTTTCAAACATTGTAACCAGTTTGCCAGAATACCAAATTCTATGTCGGGTGTTAAAAAAAAGTAAAAAATAATAATTTGCCTGTAACAGTGAGAATAGGCCTGTAAGAATTATAAAAACCAAGCTCTAAAGACGACGATGGAAATATTTTGGCATATCAAAAAAATAAATTACTTACAACTAAATTGTGATAAATATTAGTTCTAATGGATGTATATGTACAATAGTATGGATTATTAAGTCTGTCATATCCTTTAAAACTTATATAAAAATCAGTTCCAAGTATTAAGCACCTGAACAAGAATTACCGTCAATTGGAATTCAATGCAAAAATCATCAATTCGATATTTTTTGGAAAATCTATTTTGTACTGCTATCTAACTGTGCTCATTCACTGCGAAATATTTATTCCGTGGTAATCAAACTTAAAGAAGTCGAGCCTATATTAAACAGAATTCTATTCTGCTTTAGAATCATCCCGCAGACATCGAAAAAAATAATATTAGTAGAGACAATTACAAATCTCAACTGAAAACATTAAATTGGACGAGACCAAATCTATTTAATTTCTTAATTTGATACAAATGGGAGTTTACAAAGGTAATACTGGAAGATAATCAAATAAATTGGGAAACGTTTAAATAGCGATCCGTTGCTTCAAAACTGCAGGCAGCCCGTAGTAACACTTCTGGTAGGTTCTATTCCACATGATTTATTATCGTGTAATATACATAATAGGGGCCTTCATTTAAAGCGGCAAATGGCTAATAAACCTAATATAATTGTTACCTTTTATGGAAAAATGTTTGCAACGGATAAATATAAACATTTTATCACTTTATCTGTTTAGATGAAGGCCCCTAATAATTCTATATGTGCTTAATAATGTAATTCCTACTTACCCAGTGTCCCTTATCAACATCTTCGTCTGCTTCCCATTTCCTCGTTAAGAATGGATATTTCTTAGATATAATTTCTCCATCGAAAAACGTTGTAAGGGTCGGGAATTCAAACGTCAAGCCATTAATTTTTAAGTATCCACAGAGGAAGGAATTTTGCAAATCTATATGCTAAATATAAACACGATATATTTAATGATTTCACACTTATTGCCTTAATACTATCTTAGGTATCAAACTTATTACATGATGAACAAAGAAAATTTAAACAGTGCTAAAAATATTATATACATTGAAAATCGTTCTTTTTGAAGCCTAGTCCAAAAAAATTCCAGGAAAATGGAAGGGTTTTGACTCTGAGCAAAATAAACAAAGAAACTTACGTTCATTTCTTAACGGAACATTTTCGCTACTCAAGATAACATCATAAGCAAATGACTGCAAGTTACATCTTTTCTCAAGGGGGTTCAAATTTGTAAGCATGCACCGAGCATGAGGGGAGGTTAAAATGCAATAAATATCGAATTTCGTTGTACTTTTAAGTTGTTTTTTTGTATTCGGAAAACATCAGAGGCTCAAGTTTTCCATTAAGCCATCTCCATAGAATAAAAGTGAGTGTGAAATAGACCGCAATATTATATTATTAATAGAAAAAAATAGAAAAGTACGGCGTATAAAAGACCGTAAAAGAACTGTAGGGTTACAATACGTAATATTTGGTGTTTTCAATTCCAGTATATTTTATTTTTAGCATCATTTCATCCATGTATATGAATGGTATAACGAACAGTTAAGATTTTTGTATTTATTTTTTGCTTTTCTCGGATTTTCACCCGTCTATTTTTTTCTTTCCTCGGCTCAGAATTGAATATTTTTCAGGATTGAAAATCAATATACGTTTGAAATGGTGTTATGAAACCGACTTGATTTTGCTTCTTAACAAAGAACTGCTGGATGTCATTGAAGACCAGTTAGATCGGCTATCTATCCCACATGTGATCCAATTTGCAGCTACACTGCGGTTTTTGGCAGAATACTTCTATTAACGGTCTGTAGGACTCAAATATCTCCTAGCGGTACCTGCAGTCTCGGTGGTTAAAACAGAAATGCGTAAGGCATTTTAGGAATGAACGGCAATGGAAAACGGAGAGCTCGTGACCCTTTTTTACATCAAGTACCGTGTTCCAGTCATTGCTGATTGTAAAATCTTTTTTCATGACTTAAATTTCTAATAAATTTCTGCTTGCAAAGAAATTTTGTCGGGTACATTCTGACTTCGACAACAATCTGTTTCTGTAACACTCCTGAATAATTCTAATACGTAAGAAAGTATAATTAAGAAAATAATAGTATTTAACATAATAGCACTTGTTTAAAAGAAAATAATTATTAATTAATGTTTGTATTGTTAAATACAGTGATAGAATACCTGCAGAACCACTTCAACATCATAAGAATTGCCTTGTGATTTTTGAAACCCTTTAAACTTTGATCCGCTATACAGCATAGTCTCCCGGACTCCATCTTGAGATGAATTAGCAGGAAGTGCGGGCATTGCGTAACTTACAGGCATATTTTTATCAAAGTGAAATCTGTAATTGAACATTCGTTAGTAATACAGTTCACAGATATCGTTTTGCACAAATAAATAGTAGGCGTTTTCTTTTGCACCCAATTAGCAAAAGAACTTTCGGTAGGTTATCAAATCACATAGAAAATATCAATACAAAATAAGCAACTTTAGTTAAAACAATACTCGACCCGACTAGTAGTTGTTGTAAGTTAAAAAGAAATTCTCCCTAAACGGTTTGACTAAATTCACTTATTTACTATAAATTATCCATAATGAAACCAAGCCAGCGCGTTTGTCGTAATGTAAATGCAAACTATTGTATAAGGCAATTGAAAATAAGCCAGCAGGGCGTTCTTTTGAAGGTCGTGTGCAAAACACCGAGTAAGATTGATTATAATACAATATAACCGCAGTAAAATGAAGATAATAATCTTGAAACGAGTTTCCGTTTTAAATGTGCCAAGGTATTTATTTCGAAAAGTTAATATATACAAATATTTTTGAAATTTCGCCAATTTCTAGTTTTAAGTCAACACCCTGTAGCGAAATTTTTCATTTGCCTGGTGGCCTTATCTCTAACGAGGGAAGGATTTGCTGACTCTATCGCACATTCTGTCAATTTAGTACATATAGCATTCCGGGATTGAGAGATTCAAACAAAAGCGGCTCAAGTTATAAAAGCTCAATTGTTTTGTTGCGAAAGTTCTGCTCATAGAGCTGCTGGCCAGTAGCAATTGGTAAGAATTCTAACCAAAATTTACACTGAAGCGCATTCGTTGATATAAAAAGCTAATTAAAACGCAAAGAGAGAGTGTAATTTTGACATTTAGCTTGGAGGGGAAGTTTCACGTATTAGCCAGTAAGAATTGAAAAGCACGACAAAAAATTTACATTTTTATCAAGGAAACAAAAGTTACTTAAACTGAAAGTAGTATTAATACAATAATATTATTGGTATACTAAAAATTAGAAAAAAGAAGTAAATTATCCACTTTTCTTAAGGTGCCGTCAGACGTGACAATGTTACATACTTCGCCCATTTCGCTGGCGGGTGACCACCATGAAACTACAATAGTTTCTGCATGTAATTGCATATAATTGCAGAAATAAAGAATCCAGTTTGTGACTACGCTAATTTATCTGCAATCTGATTTGAGAAATTACAATTTGAATTGCTCTTGATGCATTAGCAATTTTTATTTATCTTGAAATTTATGTCAAAGGATTTGGGTATCGCTGAAGAAGATTTTTAATAAATTTTTGGGAAATAAGCTAATTTCCAGAAGTTGAGATATTAACTAATTGTTACGTTCGACTGACCTTTAGGTTGTTATGCATCATAAAATAAAAGTGAAAAAAGAACTCAAAATCAAACTCAAATCGAAATTCAGACAAGTCTTATTATTTTACGGTTTTCGCGACTACCGAATACGTAATAGGGTTTCACGTTGCTGCAACGGTTAAAGGTGTATCAAAGCTTCGGTTAAGGGAGCTATATCTTATACTTATTCAAACTCAATACCAAAGTGTCGCTTCTTAGTCGCTATTTTTAATGAATTTATGACCCAAAATGTTGAATCTGAAAAATCGGTCCGGTCTGGCCGGCTCCAACAAATTATCGTTTAAATGTAAAAAAAAAGTTTGGTTGTAACTCAAAGACTGTGTGGCTATTTTGCAGATCCAAGAAATAGCACTACTAGCTCTAATTTTTTTTCTCAAGTTGGTCTATCTGTCATGAAAACATCTTCAAAGTAAAAAGTCATTCTGTCAATTAATTTTTTGTTTACAAGGCATTTGAATTTGACATGTCAGAGTATTTTTTTAATATGGAAAAAATTGAATAGTGCGCAGTCATTAGATTCTTTGTTTTGAAACGTTGAAAAGCAAAGAAAATTTATAAGCAATAGCTAGAAAGATATATTGCAAAAGCCACCATCTCAGATGATCGAAGCTGTTTGGAAAGTTAGTGCCGCTCACTACGGACGTTTACAATGGAGAAAGCTGCATCGGTAAGTTTCGTGAGTTTTGGAGTCGCGCAAGTCGCCACCGTCAGAGCTCCAAACCGAGCAAGCAGAGTGACAAATAATTGCTATTCCCGAAAAAATTGCAACCACGACGACAGTTTATATTTAAAATAATTGTCAGGTTACATTACTGCGGCATCTGTTTCAATTTTTTTTATGAAATATTGCAAACAAAATTTGTATTTTAAGCGATCAAGCTCAATCAATTGGCTGCCTTCATTGCAAATCTGATGACAAGCTTCACTTTCTGAATATTTTTTTTTCAACAATTACTCAGCATAACACCTTTTGGATTAGCTGTACGCTAAAATTTAGCAAGTTGGCCACAGCTTTTTCCAGCGAGCAAAGTTTTTTTTTCTGTACCGCCCACTGTGCTGTGCACTCCGCCTTGTATGTTATTAGTTTAACTTTTAACCATAACTTTAAATTTTTAATCCTTAATATATCAATTAAAAGAATTTGATAAATTTTAAATTATACTCTGACTATTAGATTTCTGAGAAAAACTAAAATTAGACAATCAAGATGAGACCGGAATAGCAATCTGCAAACCATCGCTCACCGTTGTCCTTATAGCATTTCTTTTTTTTTATACAACTCACTTTCGACAAGTCTTTGCTAACATAGGATTATTTCCTTACTCAAAAACTGCAATAATTTTCTAAGAACGTTGAAGAAAATGAATGCGTTAAGAAAAAATAAGAATACATGAAAAATTGTGTACTAGTCATCACCGAAATCAGTGTCGACAGAAAAATATTTATAGAACGGAATTATAAATTTTACAGCAACGTGTTGTTTCCCTTTATTTAATATATCGAAATAATTGGAAACATCATGAGAAATATGCTTGATAACCAATATAATAAAAAATAAGATAATTGCACATTTTTGGCGCCTGCGGTAACCAAGTGGTTAACATTGCGTACGGCCATTCGGAAGCCAACGGTTCAAATCGTGGTACGACAAGCATCCATAAAATAAATAAAATTAATTTAAATTAAAAATTAAGTACAATTTCATAATTGCGGTCACTCCTCGGCAAGGAATGTCAACCCCTCGGAGTGTATTTGTCATGAATAGAGGCTTTTCTTAAAAAAAAAAACTATCAGCGGTTCAGAGGCGGTTTAGTATAAGCTGTTGTTTCCTCCATTTGTTGGAAAAACTTCAATACTCAAAACCACTTTAATAACTAAATCACTTCATACAAGTTATAAATGTTTCCACTTGCGCTTCTGTTTTATGAATGCCCTAAAAGTAAAATTTTTTTCCCCAATTCGCGTACTCGTAAATTTGGCGTTTTCGATCTCTGGCGCATGTCATATTGTTGCGAATCGATGTTCGAAGAGGTAAATGGAGCAATGAAATTCAGAACATAACTTCACGTTTTCATTAACAATTTCATGCGAAAGCGAATACCAACACATGCATGTACACTTATTTTTCTAATTTTCTTTGGCTCATTTTCCTTTGTAAAAAAAGTAAACTAAAAGCTGTAGCAATTTGGCTTTGTCACTGGTAGTAATTAAACAACTACAAAAAGATAATTTTATTGCTATAAATTAACTTGCGACGTACAATACCCCTAGTACACCCAAAATATACTAACTCCGGCACACAAAAAAAAATGTTTGTGCATCGGCTCGGTTTAACAAAATGGGGGCGTGGATTGAATGTTTGGATACAAAAAAGAATATATATTTTAGATCGAAAGTGTACTTAGACTATAAGGCGTTTTTTCTTAGATTTAAATTTAAGAATTCGGAACTTAAAAGTAAAAAAGTTCAACAAGGTGTCATTTTGTCACCAAAGAAGCCACCACAATTAACGTCGTTAGGAAAAGTAAGCATGATTTTTGGCTCTGAATATAAAATTTCATTTCGCTCACAATTGCCTCAGAGCTTCCTAATATTTTTAATTACCAAATGCAAAAACAAAAAGTCTATACTCTCAATTTGATTTTCGTGATAACGATATCTAAGTATAGCAACATGTAAACATAGGCACCACATAGTCGGCGTTCAGTTTGCTTGAGTTGAGAATAGCTCTAGTTTTCATTATGTTGGACAAACTTTTGGAAGAACGTATTCCTCGCTCCAGCGCGTTGCAAACAGTTCCAAGCAAACCGAAATTTTAACGTGAAAATCCCGATCTGTTCGTCCAAAAATATAATGAGTACTGTATAATAATAAGTATGCTGAAAGTTAACCCTCGAATAACGTCAACAAATATAATTGAGAAGGCCAATAACACGTTTCAAGGTACAAATTGTGCTGAAACAGCTAGAAAATTTTTAGGAAAAGCTGGATATCACTTGTAAACAGACGCATTGAATTCGCTCATAATTATATAATTAAGCCTCGGGAATTCGGAAACAAGTAGTATTTTCGGATGAAAGCAAATTTTGTATTTTCGGCATAAACGATTGGCAAATTGTGTGGCGCAAATCAGGAACTGTTCCTGAAAAACAAAATCTTAATTGCAGTGTAAAACATGGTGGTGGCGGCTGGTGGTGTGGATCAATATATTGCTTCCAACAGAATAACGATCCGAAGCATACTGCCAAAATAGTCAGACTTTGGCTCTTGTATAATAGTCTTAGACAGCTTAAAACACCTCCTCAGTTACTCAGACTTTCAGGAAAATGAATTTTGGAAAATAGATTTTTGTTTGTGCGTTTTGTACTTAAAATAATAAAGATGAAATACATGTAAAAAAAAGTAAAATATACTTCACATAAATAAATGCAGCTATTATATTTTCGGCAACACTGGTTTCAAGCCTGCTTCAATTGACGCATTGGAGGACAACATTGAAGCATTTATTAGTGAGATACCAGCCGAAATGTTGGAAAGAGTATGCCAAAATTGCACAAAGCGGATGGACCATTTTAGGCGCAGTCACGGTCAACATTTGCATGAAATAATCTTCAAACATTAAATTATATGGACCGTACTATCAATTGAAATGAAGATTTCATGCATTTCTTTGAACCTTTTTTTTTTTTTTTTTGAAACACTTTCCTATAGCTCTTGAAATTTCACCCTTTATAAATCTCCAGTTGAGAAGCGGGGAAAACATGTGATGAAAATTTCGTTTTTAGCCCAATTTATAGTGCTGTCTTTAAAGTTAAAGAGACAAAAATGTCTAGCTCTTATGAAGAACCAAGTGGTAAAGTTGAATCCTACCTTCGCGCAGGCCCTTACTGAGGGATCAATAATATTGACAATCAGTATATCAGTTCTATAGAGAAGGTAAAATTATTGGAGTGATTTATTTATTTTATTTAGTGGGAGGCAAAACCATATTAACCCGCATGAGTTAAAAGCAACATCTTTTTCATTAAAATATTGCTCAGAATAGTCAACTCCGCCGCGGTTTGCTATATAGATTACATAAAACTAACAGCACTTAGTAATAAAACCTGGCAATGATGTTCAGAGAGGAAGTAAAAAATTCGAGATATGTATGTATATCAAGCCATCCCAATACACAGAAGTTACCATGCATAAAGCCAAAAGAAACGGAATTGAATCTTGCGGACTATATTTTTACACAAATTGTAAACAGGTTTGACCAGCTTGAAATCGGTTTTTTTGCAACCAACATTAACCACAAAAGCCTAGTTTTTTTGTCTTAAATAGATTCCATTCAGGAATCTACACCCATGATTTTTCAATGAATTACTTATGTTTCCACCTATCAATTTTGCATGTATTGTGTAGGTGTACATCTTGAAAAAATAAATTTAAACATTCACTCCAGTATCGGATTCAATTTAAATTTTTAGGTGATAAAAAGTATTTGAACATCGTCGGTTGGCGATATAGGCTTATACATACAAATATTTTATATTGTAATATAATACTAATGATGACAGAATGCCACCAGCGTTTTACTCGAACAGGATTCAGTAAAAATTAGCCAGCAAGTTGTATAAGAGCTGTTTATTTTGACGGTTACATATGAATTCGTTCATTGATTTCTGCTTTTCAGTATATTTATTGTATAAATATAGTAACAGTAATTTTATGGCATTTAATTTTATTAAAACTTTATTGTAAATATACAAACAATGATGATATTCTATTACGTCCATCATAGCAGTCAAACCATAAAGATACTAATGTTCTTTCTGATAGTCCTCGGAAAGGAGGAACTTATGTATGTATAACTTGCTTTGCAACAATTTAGCGATTAGATTTTCAAGGAGGATGATTGAAATACTAATTGAATTGACATTTCCTAAGCATATCTGATGCAATCGCTCGGTTGGTAAATGTGAAAGTTATTCAGCGTTTACATACCGACATAAAAGATGAAGCACCCTTTAGTATGGCCGCAATTATGAATATATAAGTTGAACCTGATACTTAATCCTGCCTAAATACATTTTTCAGTCAATAGACGCCTGAAAGTATACAGGATTCGAAAGCCACTCACTAACTACACTATTAAGAAAATAGCGGCTAACTTAATTCACTTAATAGTTGAATTAAATAATACAAAAATAAATTACATGGCTCATGTTGACGCAGTGGTAGAGCATTCGCCTGTTAAGTCAGGATCCGATGGTTCAAAACCTTGCCATAAGAAGTCTGAGGAGGATATGTGGCGATCTCCGAAACAGCTGTCACTTCTACCATTTTTCTTTGTTGTATAACAAAATATTCAATTCAACCAGGCCTTTAGTTTACTTAATACTTATAACAAAAAAATAACACTTTTTATTTATGTTGTGTTTGTTTTTTATAAAATATAATAATGGGATCCTTTTGCAAATATCGAATTAATTTTTGTTATGTTTACGGTAGAAAACACATACTGAATACGACAATTTATGTGTAAATCATGCCATAGTACTTTGTTACGATGGTATAAAAGAGAAAAAATAAGTTTAAATTTGTGTGAACCTATGATTTGGAATGAGTCAGGTGAACAACAGCAAACATAACAAAAATTACTTGCTATTTTTGTGCAAATTA